GCCTAGCACATATATATATATATATGCTATATATATGTGTGTGTGTGTGTAGGGGTTGGACTAGATGACCCTTAGGGTTCCTTCCAACTCTACTATTGTATGATTCTACCTTCTGCGGTTGTACAGCCTGGCTAAGAGGATACCAAGTGAGCCGTGTGTGTGTGTGTGTTTTCCTGGCAGAGGAAGGCCTTGAGAAAGCCCCCTGGCCTGAGCTGCCCCCCTTTAAAGCGGGAGGAAGCTTCCTCTCTAACACAGGAAATGTCTATACTGAGCTACTGGAAAAGCAACAACAACTTCATAGACTCATAGAATTGTAGAGCTGGAAGAGACCCAAGGGTCAACTGGTCTTGCAGGAATCTCTTGCAATGAAGGAATCATAGTTGAAGCATCCACAGTCTCACTGCACCCACTTTCTCTGCAGGTCCATAATATGCTTCTCCTCCTCCTCCAGTGCAGAGGAAGTGTCCAGTTCTGGACACCCCAGTGTAAGGAGGATATTGACAAGCTGGGAGGTGTGCAAAGGAGGGTGATGATGAAGGGCCTGAAAACCAAGCCTTCTGAGGAAGGGTTGAGAGAGTTGGGCATTGTCAGCCGGGAAAAGACGTTCTACCAGCCTGCGATGAAAGGGACTTGATCCTGTCCTGTCACCACTTGCAAACAGCCCTGAGCATCTTCCGGTTTCGGTTGGTGCCAAGAACGTGACGACCCGGCCGTGGGCTTTGCGTGGGCCTCCTCCCCTCCTCTCCACCTCCCGCCTTAGAGATGCGCCGGCTCTCCGGGAGGAGGGAGCCGTCCGCGCCCTTTCCTGCCTCTCCGTCTCGCCGCCGAGAGGAAGCCCGAGGGGGCGGCGGCCTTCCGATCGCCTCCCGAAAAGGGAGTCTGCCCGAAGCGCCGCCGGGAGAGCCGGGCATCTTTCTTGGCTCCCTCTCGGGGCGGGGGCGGGCAGAAGGGCGCGCGCGCGCCCGTGAGAGTGACGGGGCGGAGGCGCGCGCGGGAGGCTCCTTCCCGCTTCGGCGGCGGGGCCGCGCTCTCCTCCTCTGGCGGGCGGAGGTCGCGCAGGGCCGGGAAAGGGGGAAGGATGGAAACGTGCCTCTCGCCCGCCCGCCCGCCCGCGGCCCGAAGCAGGAGCCCGAGGGCGCGGAAGCAGCCCGGCCGGAGCCCGGCCCGTCTCTCGGCAGCAGCGCCAGCCGACGCCGCCGGCCAGGGCAATGCCAGGGTCCTCGGTGCCTCTTCGACGGGCGGAAGAAGAGGCTGCAGCCGAGCGGGGTCCGAGGAGCCGCCAGGAGGACGCGAGGAAAACGGGAGCCGCCGCTGCCGCGCTCTCATCCCAACAGGCGGAATGACGGAGCAAGAAATAGTTCAGTCGGTAGAGAATGAGACTCTCAAGCTCAGGGTCGTGGGTCCGAGCTCCACTCTGGGCAACAGATTCCTGCATCGCAGCGGGTTGGACTAGATGACCCTCCTGGTCCCTTTAACTCTACAATTCTACATCCAAATTCTGCATGCCTGTTCACCCTCGAACATGAAGGTGCCAAAATTGCACCAACAGCTAGTAGCCAGGAGGACCAGGCTCTACCTGCAGCGTCTGGCGCATTATGCCTCTGGAGAGCAGCTGCTGGGAATCACCCGAGGGCAGAGCCCTGTTGCAGCCATGTTCAGCGTGCCAGCTTCCCATCGGGCATCAGGGTGGGCACTGTGAGAACAGGCTGCCACACTAAATGGGCCACTGGCCCAATCCCGCTGGCTCACCTCATGCTCTTATGCACGCACACACATTTCGTTATATATCACTATTCATTAAAGGTATCACAGGAGTTTAAAACAGTTGAACATAAAACCAAATAATGCAAACCCTGTAAAAAGTTAAAATCAGAAATCAGCTGTTGTGGAAGGATGTATTTTTAACTGCCTGCATAAGCCTAGCGGGTGGCGCTGTGGGTAAAAGCCTCAGTGCCTAGGACTTGCCGATCGAAAGGTCGGCGGTTCGAATCCCTGCAGCGGGATGCGCTCTCGTTGCTCGGTCCCAGCGCCTGCCAACCTAGCAGTTCGAAAGCACCCCCGGGTGCAAGTAGATAAATAGGGACCGCTTACTAGCGGGAAGGTAAAAACGGCGTTTCCTTGTGCTGCGCTGGCTCGCCAGATGCAGCTTGTCACGCTGGCCACGTGACCCGGAAGTGTCTCCGGACAGCGCTGGCCCCCGGCCTCTTAAGTGAGATGGGCGCACAACCCTAGAATTGGACACGACTGGCCCATACGGGCAGGGGTACCTTTACCTTTATAAGCCTAGCAGAAGAGTTTCCAGCAGGCGCTGAAAAGTTGAAAGAGAAGGTGCCTGCTGAATCTTTGTTGGCAGAGAGTTCCACAGACCATGTTACGTGGTGATGTAAAATGAGCCTCACCAAATTCGTGGTGGCCAACAACACTCCTGCAGGTGATCTGGGATACAGGGGGTTTAGTCCCCAAGGTTTCCTGGGCCTAAGCAGTTCAGGGCTTTGTAAATACAAGAAGAACCTTGAACATGGCTCCATAGTGAGTGTGCCCACTTACAAGTGCAGCTGTTTGATCAATGGTGGCACATGTTCTTGAGCAGAAGCTCCCGTAATCAGTCTGGCTGCTGCATTCTGCGCTGGCCAGAGCTTCCGAACCAGACCCAAGGGCAGCTCCACGTAGAGCACATTGCAGTAATCCACCCTTGAGGTTACCGACACATGATCTGCAGCAGTCAGGCTCTCCCTGTCCAGGAACAGCCAGAGCTGGTCAAAGGCTTCTCTGGTGACAAAGAGGGAGGGCCACCCCATCCATGGACTCGATGGCCCTTGTGGTCTATTCCAACTCTATGATTCTGTGATCCAGAACTGGTAACCTGCCTGCCTCTGGAACATGGGAACCACCTGCCCCAAGGGCCTGTCTTCCGAGGCCCTCATCCAGTCCACCACTGCATTCAGACACTGATCCAGAGCTTTCATTGCCTCTCCTGGTTCAGATGCCATGGAGAAGAAGAGCAGCAGACCTGTAATACCTTGCCTCAAAATACCACATGGCTGCTCCCAGCGGCTTCATAAAGATCAGGGCGGTCCAACGTCACCCAGTGGGCTGCAAGAGCACTTTGACATGGGATCCGAGTGCTGCACACTGCCTTGCATGTGAGAGAGCAAGGCCAAAATCTGGCACACAGCACTACTGGTCAGGCTTTCCCATTCCCAAAGCCCAGTGCCTCGCTGACCTGGTTTTGGGAAGGCAGCATGAGGGCTGATGGGTGCAGTGTCAAATGTTGCTGAGGGCTGCCCAAAAAGGCCTTGAGGGCCGCATGTTCAACCACCCTCGTATAGGTCCTAATTAGCATTAACAGTTAGAACTGGATATGGAACAACTGATTGGTTCAAAATTGGGAAAGGAGTACGACAAGGCTGCATTTTGTCTCCCTGCTTATTTAATTTATATGCAGAATACATCATGCGAAAGGCTGGGCTGGATGAATCCCAAGCTGGAATTAAGATTGCCGGAAGAAATATCAACAACCTCAGATATGCAGATGACACAACCTTGATGGCAGAAAGTGAGGAAGAATTAAAGAACCTTTTAATGAGGGTGAAAGAGGAGAGCGCAAAATATGGTCTGAAGCTCAACATCAAAATAACGAAGATCATGGCCACTGGTCCCATCACCTCCTGGCAAATAGAAGGGGAAGAAATGGAGGCAGTGAGAGATTTTACTTTCTTGGGCTCCATGATCACTGCAGATGGTGACAGCAGCCACGAAATTAAAAGACGCCTGCTTCTTGGGAGAAGGGCAATGACAGGCCTAGACAGCATCTTGAGAAGTAGAGACATCACCTTGCCAACAAAGGTCCGTATACTAAAAGCCATGGTTTTCCCAGTAGTGATGTATGGAAGTGAGAGCTGGACCATAAAGAAGGCTGATCGCCGAAGAATTGATGCTTTTGAATTCTGGTGCTGGAGGAGACTCTTGAGAGTCCCATGGACTGCAAGAAGATCAAACCTCTCCATTCTGAAGGAAATCAGCCCTGAGTGCTCACTGGAAGGACAGATCCTGAAGCTGAGGCTCCAGTACTTTGGCCACCTCATGAGAAGAGAAGACTCCGTGGAGAAGACCCTGATGCTGGGAAAGATGGAGGGCACAAGGAGAAGGGGACGGCAGAGGACAAGATGGTGGGACAGTGTTTTCGAGGTTACCAGCATGAGTTTGACCAAACTGCGGGAGGTAGTGGAGGACAGAGGTGCCTGGCGTGCTCTGGTCCAGGGGGTCACGAAGAGTCGGACACGACTAAACGACTAAAGAACAACAACAACATGTCGGTTGTTGGGTGGCATGCATCTGTCTCTGGAGAGAGTGCAGGAGTGTGCCTTCAGGGCGAAGTCAAACCACTGGAGTTACAGTGCCTGCTGTGGCTGTAAAGACTGAGACAGGAGAGGCCTCTTTTGTTGCATCCGGGGCAGGCGAAGGCGTCCGGTTGTGCTGCTGCAGATGCACCAGGGCGGTTCTTCTCTCTGCGCTCCTTCCAGCGGTGGCGTCTCCTCTGGCCACTGCTGGGGATGCAGGACTCACTGTCCGGAGAGGACAGTGCCCGGCAGAAACCCGCAGCCCAGGCGCCAGGGGGCTGAGCAGATGCCAAGGGAACCCGCAACACTGCGCCTGCCCTCCCTCCCACCGCCGTCCCGTCAGGCCCGGGGGGGACTACAACTCCCATCATCCCTGGCCTTGCTAGCGAGGGGTGATGGGAGTTGTAGTTCAACACCTGCAGCCGCCCCCCCCCGCCCCCTCCCAGGACCGGCTTCGGGGCCAGACGCGGAAGCTCAACTCCCCTGGCTCCGCCCCCGTGAGGCGCGACCAGGAAGTCCCGCCTCCTCCGAAGCCGCGGCGCGGGCGGGGCTGGCCACTGGCTGCTTCCGGCGCCCCGTCGCTCTGGGCACGTGGGAGCGTTGCCGGGCGACGCGCTGAGCGAGGGGGGCTCATGGGCCGGCGGCGGGGGCGGGGGCGGCGGGGGCGGGAGCAAGAGGCGGCCCCTCGGCCCCCGTCCGGGCGGGTGGCGTCCACGGGGGGCAGCAGCGCCGCCAGCAAGCGCTCCGCCGCCGCCATGGGCTACACGCGCGACCGCTTCGCGCTCCGGATGGCGCCCGCGGGAGGCCGCCGCGCCCCCGCCATCCACCGGTGAGCGAGCCCGGAGCCGGGCCTGGCTTCTCCGAGCGCGTGCAGAGTGCCGGCCTCCTTCTGGAAGCGGCTGCCAAGGACTTGAGAGTCGTTTTCTCGCAAGAAGCATCGGGGCGGGATCCTGGCTCTGTGGAGCTGGAAGGGACCCCGAGGGTCATCTAGTCCAGCCCCCTGCTTGCAAGCCTTCTAGAGAGGGCGAGGTGAGCAGGCGGAGTCTTCCGGGCTGAAGGAGCTCCGACAGAAAACCAGCTGCTTGTTAGCAAGGCCCTTAACTCTTCTCAAGATACGGAGCCCAAACCTATTGCTGTCTTTTTTTATATAATAATTTTTATTAATTTTCCAACACAAATAGACAATCGTATCAAAATTTCCACAGATTTAACTCTGTTTGGACTTCCTTCAGCTTCTCTAACAATCATCCATATTTGCTTCCCAGTTACGCATTTCTTCTGTTTATATTGCCATTAAACTTCCCTCCCACTTCTATTTCTTTCTAACAATGTACCTCAACTTTCACAGTGCTTCTTGAAACCCCACTAGCGTTGTTTGCACATCACACGTTCTTTTCAGATATTCAACAAATTTCCCCCAGTCCTCGATGAACTTTTGGTCTCGAAGATATCTAATTTTCCCAGTTAATCTGTCCAGTTCTGCATAGCCTGTCAGCTTCAGTCTCCATTCTTCTACCGTCGGTATTTCCTCTTGTTTCCATTTCTGGGTCAGTAGAATTCTTGCTGCTGTAACTGCATATTGGAAAAGTTTAAAGTCCTTTCCTCTTATTTCCTTTCCTGTAATCCCTAAAAGAAAAATCTCTGGTTTCTTTACAAATGTACATTTTAACATCTTTTTCATTTCATTGTATATCATCTCCGCAAATCCCTTCACTTTCTTACATTCCCACCACATGTGATAAAACGTTCCTTCTGTTTCCTTACATTTCCAACACTTGTTACACGTCTTATACATTTTTGCTAATTTTACCAGTGTGATATACCATCTGTAGAACATTTTCATTACATTTTCTTTTAGTGCCATAAAAGCAGTAAATCTTATATTCTCCTTCCACAGTTTTTCCCAATCCTCAAACTGTATATTGTAACCAAAATCTTTGGCCCATTACAGATTTAACTTCCTCATCTTTCATATTCCATTCCAACAGTATTTTATACATTTTTGACAAAATTTTGCAATCAATATTTATCACTTCTGTCTGAAACTTTGAATCTTTTTCTACGTAACCCCTTTCTTTAATGTCTTTTTAAAACATTTCATTAACCTGAAAATAATGCAACCAATCATAACATGTTCTCGAACTTGTTCGTATGGCTTTAGTTTCCACTTTCCTCCTCCTTTGATTATCAATTGACCATATGTAATCCAATTACCTCTCATATTTATTTTCTTTACACTCATAACCTCTAATGGTGACAACCAGTGTGGAACTCTAGGTTCTAATAGGTTTTTATACCTATCCCATATTTCTATTAGTGGGCTCCGAAATATGTGGTTCCCGATACCTTTGTGAATTTTATTCTTTTCACACCATAAGTACGCGTGCCATCCAAATCTGTTATCAAATCCTTCTAAATCTAAGAACTCCTTATTCTCTAATTTTATCCATTCTTTTAACCAGCAGAGACCTGGTGCTTCGTAATAATAATAATAATAATAATTTATTATTTGTACCCCGCCCATCTGGCTGGGTTTCCCCAGCCACTCTGGGCGGCTTCCATAGAAACCAAAAAACACTAAAATATCGTATAGTTTCAAATCCGGCAGGGCGAAGCCTCTTCTTTCCTTAGAGTCCGTTAATAACTTAAATTTAATTATCGGCTTCTTTCCCTGCCAGATATACCTTGAGAGCACTCTTTGCCACTCTTTAAAAATTGCTACCCCCTTTATTATGGGGATAGTGTGAAACAAAAATAACATCTTTGGAAGGACATTCATTTTAACCATAGAGATTTGTCAGGGAACTGCCATCAGTGCCGGAGGGAGAGAGCAAAATCCAGAGGGATTCCAGAGAGCGTCCCGGGATTCAGCGTAGCACCAGTGGAGAAGGGGGGCAGATGGGGGAAGCGGCGAGGCGGTCCCAGGACTCCTTGCCGGGGACCAGCGGGGAGAGTAGAGGTCCTCCGCTGCCTACGCCCTCCTTGCGCAGAAGGCTTCCGCGCAGAGAGAGTAGGAGGAGACTAGGCGTCAAAGAGCTTCTTTGCTGGAAGAAGTTTAAGAAACGCCCACTGACGGATTCTGCCAGCGATTGAGTCAGCCACGGGCGAGTGGCTGTCCAGACAGGAAAGGTTCACTCAGGCATAAGATGAATAAGATTGTTAAGAGGAGAAATATCAACTTGCTGACATAATCTTGAAACTGGGATGCATTAGGGGGGGTGGGGGGAAGTCAGGGAACAAGGTTATGAAATGGGGATTTGCTGACTTTATACATGTTTTTGTCTTTGTTTTTTCCTTGTGTATGTTTTGTCTTTATAAAAGCAGAAAACCAAATAAAAATTTTATAAAAACAAAAAAAAGGAAAGGTTCACTCAGGCAACCCAGCCAGGTGTTTGCACCGGCTTACGCACGAGCAACCCCTAGAACCACTAAAAGATTCTACCCTAAACAGATAACTTCAATCTTCCCCACATCTCTAAATCTTTCCTTATTCCATTCCAGACCGGTGTATAATTGTTCTGAAACAAATCAATATTTCTAGGAATTAGCCAAATTCCTAAATATTTTACTTTTTTCACCACCTCTATCTCTATTCTTTGTTGCATTATTTCTATCATACTTTGATCCATATTTTTAGCAATTATTTTAGTTTTCTTCTTATTTAGTCTGAACCCTGCCACATTTCCAAATTTCTCGATCTCTTCCAAAACTTCTTTTACACCTTTTAATGGTTCTTCAATCGTAATTACTAGATCATCTGCAAAGGCTTTCACTTTATTTTCATTCCGACCAACTGTTACCCCTTTTATTAATTCATTTTGTCTCATCGACCTCAAAAAAACTTCTAGGACCATTATAAATAGCAGTGGTGAAAGTGGACATCCCTGTCTAGTTCCTTTTGTTATTTTGATATCGTCTGTAATCACATTATTAACAATTAATTTTGCTTTCTGCTCTGTATAAATTGCCTTTATCCCATTAAAAAACTCTCTCCCCACAACCATATATTCCAAGTTCTTCAACATAAAATCCCAAACAATATTGTCAAAGGCCTTTTCCGCATCTACAAACATTAATATAGCTTGTTTCTCATTCCTGGCAGTCAGATACTCCAAAATATTAATTACATTTCTTATATTATCTTTCATCTGCCTGCCTGGAAGGAAACCCGCTTGATCTTTGTGAATGATTTCTTGCAAAATCTTTTTCAATCTGTTCACTAAAATACATGCAAATATCTTATAGTCTGTATTAAGCAGAGAAATAGGCCTATAGTTTTTAACTTGTGTTAAATCTGAGTCCTGTTTAGGGATAAGTGTGATAAAAGCTTCTTTCCATGTTTCAGGGATGTCTCTTTCCTTTAAAATATTATTCATGACTTCTTTCAGTGGTATCATTAAAACATCTCTCAGTTCTTTGTAGTAGCCTGATGTAAATCCATCTGGTCCAGGGGCTTTCCCCCTTTTCAGTTCCTTTATGGCTTCTTTTATCTCCTCATTTCCTATTGGGGCATTTAGTTGTTCTTTCTTTTCTGCCGGGATCTTCTGCACCTTTTTTCCTTTCAAAAATCGTTCTATTTTCCTCATATTATTTCTTTCTCTATTTTTGTATAGTTGTCTGTAAAAGTCCAAAAATCCTTTTCTAATTCCTTTCAGATTGTCTCTTCTCCATTTACAATAATTTTGTTAATTGTATTTTGTTCCTTTCTCTTTTTGGTTTGCCACGCAAGCCATTTTCCAGATTTATTCGCAAATTCAAAAATTTTTTGTCTTAACTTTTTAATATTCAGTTCTATTTCTTTGTTTATGATCATTGCAAATTGTGTTTGTAAAGTCTTAATCTCTTGTTTTATTTTTTGAATTATTTGGTTTTTTAATTAATTTTTGTTCATTGTCCATAATCTGCTTCAGAATTTCTTTTTCCCCTTTTTCTCTGTTCTTATTCTTCAAAGAATTCTGTTGGATAAAAAAGCCTCTCATCACTGCCTTGCTTGCATCCCATACTACACTCATCTTCGTTCCTTTCTTGCTGTCGGTCCAGCTTGCATGAATGAATTGTGCTGTGTGAAGTTCTTCCTTCTGCTCTGCATCTCCCAGCGCCCACCTCACCCGGTGGCCTCCTTGGGTTGCAGTTTTGTGAGAGAGGGAGAAGAGCTCTGCGTAGACATCTTTCTCATCGCCCCTCAGCCACCTTTTCCGTGGGTTAAAAAGCCCTCATGGGGGACGGATAAAGGATCCCCACTTTGCCACCTGTTGACTGTGTGAAACAAACACCACAGTCATAGGACGAAACCTCTGCCATTTGCTAGGAATCTCCAGTGGGGAGAGGAGAGGGTTGCTCAGGGTCTCCTTGTGGGCTTCCTAGATCCCGTGGGAACAGGATGCAGGGTGGGTCTTCTTTGGCCTGATCTGGAAGCCAAGCTCTTCTTGTTTACTTTTTGCATATGTTTATATTGTGCCATTAAAAGACAGGAAATGGCTTTTCCTTTTCCCATCTGGAAAAGCAGCTGGAAGAGAAACCAAAATGTGCCTGTTCTGGAACAAAATATAGCATGCATTGTCCATGACCACAAACAGTTCATACGCAGCAGGACTTCTTTCATGATAGCCCACCTCCAGCTGAGCTCTTCTGAAGTCTGTCATGGGATCTCAAGTATAAAACTAGATGTGAACTCCATGTGCATCTTCTGTGGCATGTGGGCAGGAAACAACTGCCAGCACTAATAATAAATAATAATAATAAATTTTATTTATATCCTGCCCTCCCCAGCCGAAGGGCTCAGGGCGGCTAACAACAATAAAACAGTACAACAGTACAACACAACACAACACTCTAAAATCATTCATTATAAAATTAATTAAAATCAAACCAATGGCAACCATTGGGCCAGAGCTCCGTGAAGATTGCCGAGGAGGGAGTCAGGCTGTGCCCTGGCCAAAGGCCTGGTGGAACAGCTCTGTCTTGCAGGCCCTGCGGAAAGATGTCAAGTCCCGCAGGGCCCTAGTCTCTTATGACGGAGCGTTCCACCAGATCGGAGCCACAGCCGAAAAAGCCCTGGCTCTAGTTGAGGCCAGCCTAACCTCTCTGTGGCCTGGGACCTTCAAGATGTTTTTATTTGAAGACCGTAAGTTTCTCTGTGGGACATACCAGGAGAGGCGGTCCAGTAGGTACGAGGGTCCTAGGCCATATAGGGCTTTAAAGGTTAAAACCAGCACCTTAAACCTGATCGTGTACTCCACCGGGAGCCAGTGCAGCTGGTACAGCACCAGGTGAATGTGATCTCGCAGCGAGGACCCCGTAAGGAGTCTCGCCGCGGCATTCTGCACCCGCTGGAGTTTCTGGGTCAGTCTCAAGGGCAGCCCCACATAGAGTGAGTTACAATAATCCAGTCTGGAGGTGACCGTCGCGTGGATCACAGTGGCTAGGTCAGGGCGAGAGAGGTAAGGAGCCAACTGCTTAGCTTGGCGGAGCCACTTAGTTTATTTACTTACATGGCTTGCATTCCACTCAATTGTCAATGTCTTGTGGGTGGGTAACAGTGACTGCTGTATTCGCCGGTGGTGAAAGAAATGTACCTGCAAATCTCACATAACCATGTGAACAGCCCATAGATCTCCAATGTGGCAGCTGCTGCTGTGTAGGACATGCGAATGGTTGTTCCTTCCGTATTTGAAATTTCTATATGCCGCCCTCCATTACTTCCTGTGTTCTCTCTCATAGGGGCTACTATGTCCGGGCCCAGGCAGTGGAACACTGTGTCCGGGCATTCCTGCTCAGCACTCAGGGCTGCCCTCTGAGGCAGGTAAGCTGGGGGCGGGCAGAGAGCAGCCGCCACCCCTGTTGCTGCGGAGGGTTTTGCTGTGTGGTGGGTGCTGATGTTGCAAACTCCTTTCCCTGCAGATCATCTCCTTGGGCGCAGGCTTTGACTCCCTCTTCTTCTTCCTCAAGAGCGAGGGGCTTCTGTGCCACACAGTGGTCTTTGAGGTTGATTTTCCAGATGTGGCACGCCCTAAAGCAGCCCTCATCAGAGGAACGGAGGAACTGATCACCCTGGTGGGGAACGACGCTTCTGCACAGGCTCTGGGTATGGCAGTTGGCAATCTTGCCAGTCTCCACACACAGTGAGGCCAGCCCATGTGTGTCCCTGTTGGGTCTGATCTGTGTTGGTCCTGTGACCTTTCCAAGGGGGACATAGGGAGGCCCCCTGACTACAGGCGATGTGATTCAGGCAGCCCAGGAGAAGGAGGTGGCAGGTGGTGGATGCTGGAGCCAGGCAGGGACATTGTTAGCAGGGTTGCACACCAACCAGGCAGGGCAGCAGAATCAGGGCTGAACATGTGGTGGTTACTGGCATTTTGGAGAGCCCAGTACTGGGCGCCTGATGGCAGGTATTCAGTGGCAGTTTTGGCAACAGAGATATGCGCCCTGGGCAGAGCAGAGTAGCCTCCTTAATGTTCGCTGGATGTGTGCAAAGCTGTTTTTCCTTCCTCACCTGCCAGGCTCATCTCCCGGCAGCCTCGCCCTGTTTTTGGTCACAGTCCCTTTGTGGATGGCAGTGAGGAGCATCTCTCTGTCTGAGTGACAGCTCTGTGACTTCTTTTCCCAGGAGCGACTGCTTTTTCCGGAGAGGATTACAGGCTGTTGGGAGTGGACCTCTCTGAGCTGCCGAGGCTGGAAGAAGCTTTGCACAGGGCAGGACTGGACCCCAAAGTCCCCACAATGCTCCTGGCTGAAGTGGTGCTCACCTACATGGCGGTGGAGAGGTTTGTGGAATGCACTTTCCCTCCTGGGTCTCCTTGGCTGCCTGAGAGGCAACAGGCTGTTGTCCTGACATAACATTCATCACAGCAAATGCTTATGTGCGCTCTGAGGGAACGTTGCTTGGCAAATGTTACTCAATGTACCGTATTTTTCGCCCTATAGGACGCACTTCCCCCTCCAAAAATGAAGAGGAAATGTGTGTGCGTCCTATGGGGCGAATGCAGGCTTTCGCTGAAGCCTGGAGAGGGAGAGGGGTCGGTGCGCACCAACCCCTCTCGCTCTCCAGACTTCGCGCAGCTCTCCGCAAGACGGGGGAGCCCGGCGCGAAGTTGCGCCCATCTCCCCCGGCTTGCGGAGAGCTGCCTGCATCCCGAAGCCTGGGGCAAGCTGAACAGTGCGCCCCGGGCTTCGCGCTGCTCTCCGCAAGCAGGGGGAGATCGGTGCGACTTCCCGCTGGGTTCCCTAGGCTTGCGGATAGCAGCCTGTTCTGGGGGCTGGGGTCGGGGGAAGCTCGGGCTTCTCCCGCCCCAGCCCCGCGCCTGGGGGGGAAATAATTTTGTTTTCTTTATTCCCCCCCCCAAAAAAAAACAACTAGGTGCGCCCTATGGGGCGAAAAATACGGTAATCAAGTGTGAAGTGATGCATGTGAATGTTTATGCTGTCTGAGCAAATTCCATGCTTAGGATTCTTAGGAAAGGAATTCAAAATAAAGGTACCTGTATCATAACACTGTTCTTCAAATCTGTGGTGAAATACAGTACAATCGGTTGAAAGCTGGCTGGTTGAAATCAAACAAATGCACAGAAGGTGGAGAGCTCAAAAGATCTTTTTGCATGGCATTTTCCTGGGGCAGAAGGAGCTTTTGAGCTTTCCGCCTTGCTTACTGTGCTCAGGGAAGCTCTCACGAGATTTTTTGGGAACTTGAATTTCCCGCTGAGATCGGTCCAGAGTATTCCAGAGTCCACAGGCTGACTGGGGCTCTGCAAGGGGGCAGTTCCAAGGGGGAGATGGGAGTATATGCAGCATCTCTGGGATGGAAACCCCATGCAAGATGCGATCAAACGGTACTGTGTACAATTCTGGTCCCCCCACTCCAAAAAGTTGTAAAGCTGAAAAGATATAGAAAGGGGCAACCAGAAGGATAAAGAAGGAGTAATGCCCCATGAGAAAAGGCTGCAGCATTTGGGACTTGTTAGTAAAAGGCGAGGAAAAGGCAACAGAATAGATGCTCATAAAATGATGCCTGGCATGGAGAAAGTGGACGGAGAAAAGGTTTTGTCCCCCACTCATGACACCCTGGAGGAATATCCATGGAGGGAACCGCAGGAGGGGAGAGTGCTGCTGTTGAGCTTGAATCCTGCTTACAGGCTTCCCATATTGGTGTTCAGGTGGCTGCAATGAGGTCTGGATGCTGGACTAACTGGGCCATTGGCTTGATTTAGCAGGCTTTTCTTTTACAGTGGTACCTCGGGTTAAGAGCTTAATTCGTTCTGGAGGTCCGTTCTTAACCTGAAACTGTTCTTAATCTGAAGCCTCCTGCTGCCGCCACATGGTTTCTGTTCTCACCCTGAGGCAAAGTTCTTAACCCAAGGTACTATTTATGAGTTAGCGGAGTCTGCAACCTGAAGCGTATGTAACCGGAGGTACTGCTGTATTCTTAAATTCTTAATTTAGGTTGCCAAATACACAAGTTGGCCTTAGCACTTCTGCTTATTAGCCTTTAATTAACTTTATTTAAACTTTACTTAAAATGTGTTTAAAGGTGCATTTTAATTGTGCTCCCTTCCAGCCCTAGGAGAGGAGGGCATTCATCTACCCGCCCTGACTGCTGTCCACACAGACCTTGGGGGTAGTGGGTCTCCTCTGGTAGCAGACGGAGGCTGGAGCTAGGCTAGGTTGCTCTTCACTGCTAGACTTCGCCCTTCCAGGTCAGATGCCCTGGTCCAGTGGGCCGCTGGACACTTCTTGCATGCCTGGTTCATCCTGTATGAACAGATCCACCCCGAAGACCCCTTTGGGCGCGTCATGCAGAATCACTTCAGCCGGCTCAACTCCCACCTTCGTTCCTTGGCCCAGTACCCCAACTGTAAGGCCCAGCGGACCCGATTCCTTCAGAGGGTGAGTGCACAGGACCCAGGCGAGATGGAGGCAGGAAAGAGGGAGGTCCTGTCTTTGGCAGAGGGTGGGGGCAGCTGAAGAAAGTGGCCTGTGGGAGCTGCTGCTCTCAGTGCTCTGCCTCTCTTTCCAGGGCTGGACGCAATGCAGCATCGTCAACATGAATGAGTTCTACAGCCACATTGTCCTTGGAGAGGAACGGCAGAGGATCCAAGCCCTGGAGCCTTTTGATGAGTTTGAGGTAACTGGCCAGGGCAGAGGCCCAGAGCCAGGTGCTTCTCTCTGGGCTGCAGTGGGGCATCAGCAGGTGCCTGAGAGTCCCAGGAAAGGGCCAGACTGGTGGTCTTCAGAGCTGCCCAGAGCTTTGCCAGTGCTGGCTGGCCTTATTCCAGGGGTGGGGGGTGCCCAGGAAGCCTCTGATGGTCAGCTGGTGCCAGAACCACCAAGCACTTCCAGAAGAGCATGGAGAAATCTGCCTCGAAGTGCCTCTCTGTCCCCAGGATCCAAAGAGGCAAAAGCACCTGGGAACCCTAAGGAGAAGCTGCTGGATCATCTCACCTAGCCGCCTGTTCTCATAGCCTGTGGGAAACCAAGGCGTGAACAAGCAGCACCAGAGCGCCCCCCCCCCCCGTGGTTCCAACAACTGGAAGCATGCCCACCCTGGCAGTCCTCTCAGCAGGGTCCTCTCCCCCCTTTTAAACTACAACCCCCCCCCCACTTGTCCTTTCTGGAGACTTCTGTTGTGGTCCCTTCCTGGGCCCAAAGGGCTCCAAGTGGGTCAAGCCGGCTGCTGTGTCTGCTCTGTGAAAGGGGCGTAGGCTTCTTGGAGCAGCTCTGTGCGAGTCCTTTGGGAAGAAACTCCCACTTGGGACCTCGCAGGTCTCTGCCTTTCCAGCAGCTCCGTGCTGCGGGGCTGGATTTTAGGGTGCTGTACAAATGCCAAGTGGGCTGTGGAAGTGGGTAGCTTTTTCATTAAATTAGCTCAATGTTTGACAGAGTTCCTTGTGGCACTCTGCTTGGCGAACGGTTTGTGTGTGAGCTGGACAATAATATCAGGCGGACTCACAGAGGAAGGTTTGAGTGGGAAACAGAAGCTGGACAAGGCCAGTGACTCCTCTTCCTGCTCTTTCTGTGCAGGAATGGCACCTGAAGTGCTCCCACTATTTCATCCTTGTGGCCTCCAAAGGAGAGACGCCAGCTCCAAATCTTCTCTTTCCTGGCCTGGAAGGTAAAAACACAGCAGCCCTTTTGTGGCTGGCGGGTGGGGTGGGAGCCAGGAGGCATGTCAGCCGTGCCACTGCCATGCACCTGCCCAGTGGCGCTGGGTGGGCATGAGGCGGGTGCACAGAGGGGATATTGCCCTCATCCCCCGCCCCGGTGTTTTGGCAGGGTATCGCCCTTTCCTCAGCTTCTTGGGAGGGGGCTGGGCTGGGCAACTGAATCAGAGTGGAGCAGCAGCCTAGCAGGGTCCGGGCCCCTGGGTCCTGCGGCCGGCCGGTCACTTTCTATCCAGGTGAAGGCAGCCTAGGTGTGTTGGGCTTACCAGAAGCCCAGGAGGCCAAGGCGCATTCCTGGATGCCAGTCCAGGAAGAAGAAGCCAGGTGGGTGGGGGATGCTGATGTTCAGAAAGTGCAGTCTGGAGAGGAGCATGGAGCTGGGGAGGAAGGCAAAGGAGAAGAGTCTTGGGGCATTGGCTGACTTCAACCAGCCTGGCGCCGAAGAGGTAGCTGCTGCCTGTTTGGACCCTGGCAAGAAGAGGCAGGGGGGTGAGAGTCCCTCAGGGCATGCAGTCAACTAGGGAGAGACTCGAGTGCTGCCAAAACAGTTCAGGGCAGGAAGTTCAGAGCTGTTGGGAGAGTTGCCCTGAAAAACCAGGGGACTCGGCCGTGGTGGTGCATTGGGGCCTGGTGCCTGTGGGATTCCCTCCTGGGCAGATTTGCTGTTTCCTGAGGAGGTGGTGAGGCAACATGGGCCAGGGCTGGGGTGACTTAGAAGTGTGCAGCCCTTGTGCTGTGGGCTTCCTCCTGTTGTGGTGCCTCTGCTGCCAGTGACACTGCCTGCCCCCCCACCTGTTTCTCCCCTTCAGCCTCCCTGACTCACTCTCTGCCATGTTTTGCTGGGACTCTTGCTGCATCTGCTTGTGCCCCTGTCTCTGGGCTGAGGCGCTATGGCCACCGCTCTGTGATCATTGCCCCCGACGTGATCCTGACCACTGGAGGTTTTGGGGACCACGGGGGACGTCACTGCCGCCTGACAGAGCTGCATGCCTTGATCAAGCAGAAGGATGGCTGGCAAGGGAGCAGGGTGACCTTGGCCGAGCCAGGAGAAGCCTGGGGTGAGTTGGCAGAGGCTCTCTCTGCGTCCGTGGCTGCGTGCCTCCTCCTCTGTGGCTTGCCCAGCCTCCCTTGGGGACAGCAACCTGAGCCCAGTTGCCTCTGCTTCCTCTGCAGACGGCCGGCTCTTCCACTCCTTGACTCTTCTGCAGGCGGGCTGGGCCGTGGTGTTTGGGGGGCGTCGGTCCCCGGTGAGGCCTGCTCTGGAGGTGTGTTGCCTGAGAGTGTTGGAGTCTGCCAGCGCCTCCGCCTCTGGCACTCTTCGTGTGGAGCTGACTCGGCTGCTGCCTGTGGAGGAGCTGCCTTTGCCCCGCTGGAGACACACGGCAACCACAGTTGTGCATCAAGGTGGGTGGGAGGCTCTCTCTGGGCTGCAGCCAGGCAGGCCGGAGGCAGTCTGGGGTGGAGAGTAGCCCAAAGGGGCGGCATCTCTTTCCATCTCCTGGGCCCTCCTGGATACCTGTCAGGAAGCCCCTTGCTGCTCTCTACTCCCCGGAGGGAGGAGTTGTGTGGTGGGATTTCCCACCAGCCCCTTGCCAATTGTCTTAAAGCCCAGAACAAGTTGTGCTAGTTGGCGCACCTCCTCTAAAGCACTGGTGGAGCAGGGCCAGCAGCCCTTGGAAGAGGCAGTTTAAGATTCCCACAGGAAACTTGGGGGCAGCCTCCCCCTCCCTCCCTCCCTCCAGCAGGGCCTTAATGGTGTTCCTGCACCTTAGGAGATCCCAGGGAGGGGGCAGGACTCCACTCTGACCTGCTGCTCTTTTCCAGGTGAGGCGTACCTGTTTGTCTACGGGGGCTGTTGCTCCAGGCAGGCTGTGCTGGCGGATTGGTGCTTCCTGCGCCTGAAGGAGGAGGGGGAGCTCTCTTGCCAGCAGGTATGAGGCAGGCAGAGCCCTCCTGTGCTCCTGGCTGGAGCCTGCGTTCATCGGTCCCCCTTCGAGTGACCCTGTCAACGGCTTCATTGGTGATGGTCCCGTGGGTGGAGTTAGAGAAAAGAGACTTTCCCAAAACCTCAGTCTCATTCCCATAATTGCTTGCAAATCAGAGCCGGAAGAAGTTTGGGTGCTCTGATGCTTTCCATGCAAGCAACCTTCAACGCTTGCTTCCTTGCTTTATTTTTATCGTGCCTTTCAAGGTGTTTTGGGGAGTGCACATGTCATCTTCACAACAGCCCTGTGAGGCAGGCTAGGCTGACAAATGGTGGCTGACCTGAGGTCACTCAGCAGGAGCCATAGCTGACTGGGTTTCCCTCAGCCTTTTGGTCTGACCCTTTAACCATCCAAACACAACCTTGGCTTGAAGCTGGAGAGTCTGGAACCCCCCCCCCCCGCGCCTGTGCCTCCTCTTTTGCCACTGAGAAGGCCTCTCCCCATGTGTCCCCCTTTGGCTCCCAGTCCAGCAGCCCCTTCTCTTTACACATGTCCCCAACCAGACACTGCAGATGGGGAAACAGGCTGCCCCTTCCACACCTGCCACCCATTCACCCGAAGGATGCAGTCTGCTCCATCTGAGAAGGCTTACTGGGTCTGGGCAAGATCTGCAGCTTGCAAAGGACTTACGCATCTTCTAGAATTGAGGGAGTCTTGTGAGCAGGAGGTGTGAGTGCTGACAAAGCAACTCATGCCTTTATGGAATACGGCTGAAGTCGGAGATTTTGGGGAAGCCCTCTTCTCTTGGCACCTGCTCCCTGGTGGCTCTTGGCTGCTGCACCAGAACAGCCTTTTCACCCTCTGCTTCTGGGGGGGCTTGCTTGGTGTGTGTGTGTGGGGGGGGAGAAGCATATACTCATGAGTCCCTGACCTTTGGGGAAAGGGTGCTGCCGGCTCACTCCTTCCCTTCTGCTCCTTGGCCTTAGATCCCTGTGGATGGACCTGTCCCAGCTGGCCGCCACTCCCACAGCGCCTGTGGCTGGGCAGGTGGGGTGCTCATTGCGGGGGGCCTGGACGCAGCAGAGCAGCCTCTGGGCACCATCCTCTTTCTGAGGCCAGCTGGGAAAGGCTTTCAGTGGCACTCAGTGGAGACCCACCCGCCAGTCACTCCCAGGTAAGCTCCCTCCCTCCCTCCCTCCCTGGAGCATCTCTGCATTAGGCAGGTGGCAGCTGCAGGTCCTATGGGTGGGCGGGTGGGCTTGGCCCCTTCTCAGGCAAATACCCAAAGGCCAGAACCAAGCTGTGGTGCTGTGAGGTTGTGGCCCAGCCCTCCCCGCAGAAGCTTCTGGTCAGGTCTCCTGCTCTGCCCTGGCCCCAAAGGCCCCCAGACCTCCAACAGACTTTGCCCCCATCTGGCATGTTGAGCCACCTGAGCCCCAGAAGGACATCCCACTGAGTTGACTGAGTCTAGCAAAAGGGGACTCCTGTTACCAGGGTGCCGTGATTGGTCAGATGGAGCAAAGTGGTGCTGGCAGCAGATGTCGTTACTTGAGAATTGCAAGGCACAGACTTGTAGCTACCAGTGAAATCAAAGTTATTTTATAAAATCAAAATGCACGTGGAAGGACGCTCAAGTCGGGCTCAAGAGGCTCCCATCGAAATCTAGCCTTCAAATCCTGCCTGTTCAGGATTGGCTTCAAGGGCTCTTGGGCTGCTGCTTCTCAGACCAAAAGAGCAGGCCAACCTGGATGTCCTAGTTCAGGCGGCTGAAGGAGCAATGGGGTCTGTGGCCAAGGGGCAGGCAGAGAAATCCTTGGAGGGAGCGACCCACTTGCAGCCCGGTTGCTGCTGGTTGGAGTGTTGGGGGCTTTTGGCTCTAGGAAGATGGAGGTGGCCTGGCACTGTTTCCTCCGCTCAAGCGAGGGCTGCCGCTGCTGCTGCCCCCCTCCCTTCCCTCCGTCCAGGTACTCACACACAGCCCATGTGCATCGGGGGCGGCTGTTGCTGGTGGGCGGCGTCTGGTTCCATGCCCCGGCCGTGCCTGGCGTCACTGTGATAGATCTGGCAACGGGACTCACGGCAGAGTATTGCATTGACACGGTGAGTTGCTGGTGTGGGAGATATGCCTTTTCTATAGCTGCCTCCAGGTTCACTTACCTGCTTGCCCTAAGCTTACCTTGAAGCAGGATCCCACCCTTATGCCGCACTGAGAGTCACACTATTGGTCCATCTAGCTCATTGCTGTACGCACTGCCTTTTCCAGGCTGCAGGATTGGAACAGGAAGTGCAGGTGAACAGGCAAGCAAGGATCCCGTTTCAGCTGAAGGTGCTTAGGCTGAGCTATTGGAGGGCTGGAGAAATGGGAGGCTGTGCCAAAGACTCGGTGGGATCCGTGGGCTTTTGCGGGGGAATGAGAGGGAGCCTCATGCGGGCATCCCTGGAAGGCAGTTCCAAGCACAGGAGCACCAACGGGGTGGAGTCTTCTGGGGAGCAGGAGGGCTGAGGGGTTGGCAGCACAGGAGCAAAGGTCACTGGCAGAGATGTACCAAAATCTATGAGTGGAGAGAGAAGCTGGGGCAAAGCCACAGTGGGGCGTGAGGAGGAGGACAAGGAGTTTGTGCTGAATCCAGGGCAGAGCAGGAGGGCTTTAAGGAGGGGAGGCATGGCAGGGGGTGGACTGGGTGACCCTTTGGGTCCCTTCCAAGTGTCTGATTCCAAAAGAGGGGGGGATGTTGGCAGCCACGTGCTGATGGACACGAGGAGAGCAAGACTAGAGGTGGGAATGTGCCTGGGGTCATCTCGGCAAGGGCCATTGAGGTAGGGAAGGGTTGTGTCCTTGCAAGGGGCTGGCATTGCTCATGCCAGATGCTTTTGGCTTCTCTCTTCCTCTCCCCCCACCAGCAAAGCAGGGGCTGGCCACCCGCCTCCCCCCAGAGTGGGGGGTGAGTGAGGCAGGAGGAGCCCCTGTGTGCGTCTGGCCCCCTTTGCCAGCCTGACTCCTGATGCCACCCTCGCCCCTCTTCTCTACCAGGCATCTCTGGAGTGGCCTCTGATGTTGCACAACCACAGCAGCGTCTTCCTGCCAGATGAAGAGGAGCTGCTGCTTCTTGGCGGTGGCGGCAACTGCTTCTCCTTTGGGACACATCTGAACTGCCATCCTGTCCGCCTGGCCCTGGCTAGTATGTGGAGTGAGCCGTGAAGCCCTGAGGGGGCCTGAAGAGGATGTGGTCAACAGAAGGGGAAGAGGTTGCCCTGCCCTGGCTTGGTGAGGGCGAAGTGTGGGGGGGTCGGGGCAGGGCAATGCCCACCCACCCTCCGCACCCGGCTCTTGGCTCTTTCTGCCCCAGGGAAGTTGATGAGCCTCTTGGCCAGGAGAGGTCAAATGATGGTGGGAGGGAGGGAAGCAGGGCCAATGGAGGTTTGGGGCAGCTGTCCTGTGTTCCCAACCAGAGGAAAGGGGCTTCTTAGATTGGGGAAGAATCGATGAATGAAGGCCAAGGAATAAATAAAATCTGCTCTCCCCAGGGAGGCTCGCTTGACCCTTCCCTACACAGCTTTAGGTGCCATGTGAAAACATTCCTCTAAGGCCTTTTAAACTGGGGGTGGGTGGGTACTGTTCCATTTGTTATGCATTTTTATACTGTAAACTACTCTGTGATCTTTGTATGATGCGTGGTATAGGAATTTAATAAAGAAATAATGAATAAACTCTGACTCCTTCTTAGCCCAAATCTAGTACTCAGTTGTATGCTAAAACCATGGGTGACGCTGACATTCATGCGAAAGGGTAGTTTTTAAAAACTTAAGAAAACCTGGGCTTTGTGTTTTCTTAACAAAATGCAATGAGATAGGGGTGGGAAAGAGAGAGAGAGAGAGAAGTGACTTGCCTCTCCTGGTTTTTCATACCTTTCATTTATCAGGATACACGCAGCTGTCATTTGGGTCCCCTGCATTGGGATTCTGTCACTCTTATCCATGCATTGGGATCCTTAGGAAAGGGACTGAAAGTAAAGCTGTCTGTTTTACAATGCATACTAATCTATAGTGTGGCTGCACTTGGAATACTGTGTGCAGAATTGGTTGCCTCCCCTCAAAAGGGATATATCCAGAACAGGCCTTGCTCACTCCTGCTCACTGTAAAACATTCACCACCTTCAAGGACCAAGAGGGAAAGAAGAAATCCCCAAGAACCTTATAAGAACATTTGAAAAATACAGAATTAAGGGTCTAGCTAGCTTACTGTGTGTTGCAAAATGCAAAGGAACTGAAGTATGAATCAAGTGTGATTGAAATTTACCATGGTATTTGTCCTTAAACCTTGAGAAAGTGCAGAGATTTTAGACCGTTTACTCTTGCATTAAAGGAAGCTGGCTATGCATCCAGATGGGGCATCCCTTTCAAGCTGCTAGTCCAGTGATTCTCAAAGGATGTGCCAGGAGAGAATAGCAAGCTGTGGCAGGAAGATGCAAGGACAACTAAGAAACATTTAAACATTTCAGTATAGGATAGGATGGGACATTTCTATCTATACACACACACAACCAACCAGAAAGTGTATCCATGCCTCTCTTCAAGAGCATTGCCTGTTCTTCTACAGTTCTCTATGACATATTGTTGTAACAGAGATTTTCAACTCTGACAAATATGAAATATCAGAAAAGAAAAGGGCTTCTTTGTGTTGATGAGGAGATGAGAGTGTGCTTCAAATTACAAGAAATGAGATTCTTACTAAACACCAGGAAGAACTTTCTGACAGAGCTGTTCAACAGTGGAACGGACTCCCTGGGAAGTAGTGGACTCTCTTTCCTTAGCGATGTTAAAGCAGAGTTTGGATGGCCATCTGTCAGGGATGCTCTAGTTGAGGTTCTGGCATTGCAGGGGGTTGGGCTAGATGACCCTTGGGGTCACTTCCTAGGATGAGGTTTCCTGTTCCTTGCAGAGCCAAGAGGGTCTCTCTGAGTGTGTGCATTGCACGTGGTTCCTTCTGGGCTCCTGCTTTCCAGAAGGAAAATGGCAAGAGAAATATGATCTCGGTGCACTCGGCTTGCCAAGGGTTAAGATGAACTGAGGTGTATTTCTAGAGAGAACAGGAAATAAAGGCGAGGGGGTAAGGTCCTCCAGAGCAAAAAATCCTCCTCCCCAGTCCCTTCCAGCAAAGAGGGGGTGACTTTTGTCTCCCTGCTCTGCAAATGATCCACTGATGGCACCTTCTGGGATCTGGTGAGTCTGGAGGATGCATTCACCTCACGAAACAGGTTCCTGCCCGCTTCCTCTCTGCAAAAGCAGGGAGAGGGCGAGTTTTCAGGAGGTCTGCAACTTTAGCCTTCCTTTGGATCAAGACGCTGCTTGCCCCTTTGGGGAGGGGGTATTTCGGTCAAGGGGAAAAGGGCATGCAGATAAACCCCATTTAGATGGATGATTAAGTCACATTTGTTAACAAAGGTTGTAGCCAGATGGAAACAGATGGACATAGAATATACGCAAAAAAATATAAATGAAAACATGACCTATGCAATAAAGAAAGAAAGGCTGTTGGAAGATGGAGGGCAGAGAAAAGAAAGTGCTTCTTCATGCTGTGCAGAGTTATACCAAGAATCTCCTGCAGGAAACAGTGATGGCCATCAAGCTGGATGGCTTTAAAAGAGGATTAGGCCAATTCTTGTAGGAGGAGAGAGCTATGGGATGAGACTGTGGCTCTTGGCTCCGGTCCTGCCATGGGGCAAGACTGGAGAGGCACCAGATGGCCCTGTGAGAACAGAAGGCTGCACTCTGGCCTGCGAACTCTGTTGTCTTTCAGTTAGAAGTAAAGCTTTTCCCACCATCACCTGCCCACCAACCAGACAGGGGTGTGGTCCAGACTCCTGGCTGACATGCTTGTGCCTGTTCAGACATGCAACCCCTCAGAGATTCAGAGGATCTTTGGAGACTGAATAGGAAGCTCTGCTGAGAAGCATGAGAGGTCACCATCCAAGGAATCCAAGGCAGTGGTTCATTATTAGTGATCCAGAGCATAGAGTACCATGGCCAGGTCAGGACTGTGGCAGGAGAGCTAGCTGGAGCTGGAAATGGGCACAGCTAGTCACCCAAGGCCACCTGCGTCTCCAGTGACCATGTTGGATCCAGGAGTGCCCCCCCCAAGCATATAGGGCTGTGTGGCGGTTAAGCTATTATTATTACGTTGACAACACAGATGGATGATTCAGCTGGCTCTGAAGCATGAAGAGACAATGTATTTCTCTTTTAAACCTCTGTTCAGTAGAAAGATAAAGGCCTTCGCTAAGTCACTTTCATGAAACCTTTTAACATTCTTGAGCCTCAGTGTCAAGGAAGTTGCCCTCTACTCCCATTTCTGTGGATTTTTCCTGGGCAAACTTTGTACCTGGTTCTATTCCCTTGTTTCACGTTTTCTGCAATGATCCCACAAAACCTTTTATCGTTTCGTTTGCTACATAAAGAAAAAAACTCTTGCTTTGAAGAGACTGCAACTCAATATTCTTTCCCATATTTCAAGAAGGCAGAGAAAACTATTTGTCTGATCAAATAAGTTTATGTGTCTGATGAAAGCTTGTGCTCCAAAAGCTGTTCCAATTTATAAGATATGTCATTCAGTATTGAAGAAACAGAATTTATTTATTTTTAAAGGCAATTTGTTTGGATAACCACCTCATATCACTGTGACATTTAAAGTAACTGAAAGTTTGTCCATTAAAACTTGCCATCTTCCTGCTGAACCACTGAAAAAATTGAAGAGTTGTACAGTTCCAAAAAAGGTTACGATCTGTGGGAAAATGATTGCTTGTACATAAGAGCATGAGCAGAGTTCTTATTATTGCAGAGTGATTTTACAGCACGAGATATTGCTAAGAGCTTGATGAGCACGTGACCACCTCATGCTAGACTAATGATTGGCTCACGTAGCATAACACTCTCTTTGTCTGTGGGCAAAAGCAAGGTTACATTCCTTTGATTTGTTACTTTTGAGTACCAGGCAGAGCAAGCGTGGTGCTGGAGGAGAGAGGATGATTTATTTTTTACTGCACACAATAAACATTGCACGGCTGAAGCCAAAGCTTTTTCTTCAAGTCATCTTGGTGTGAGACTGATTTCTTACTGATTTTCTTACTGATGTCGAGCTGGATTCTCGACAACGATCATCAGTGAAACAATTGCAGTGCTGTAATTAAAACTGTGGGCAGCACAGCGTATGTATCTTGCCAAATAATTAACCTCAGACAATCTTGCCTGCACACTGCTATATTTTCCAGCCATGTTGCTGCCATTATCATATGTTTCGCCATGGCAGTAATTGATTTTCAGACCATCAACCTGCAATTTTAATAAAATATAATTTGAAAGTCCTTTTCCTGTTTTTTCATTTGTGTTAATAAAATCAAAGAACTTTCCTCAATTTGACAAAGCCCATCTGAGAGGTCTACAAACCTTACAACTTGACTCATCTGCTTCATTTGAGCACTTCCTGGGGTGCTGTCAAAGAGGATAGAAAACTATTTTGCTACTTTAATTTTTCCAATACTATTGACTCAATAAATTCATTTTGAATTCCTGGTACCAGCCTCCTTTATTCGTTTGCATTCTAATGGTCAGTTCTTTCGATGCTTTGAAGTACTAATGGTCCCAGGGGTTGTTGATTGGCTAGGATTAAAGCTTGTTACACACTTAGGACATTAGGAGATTAAGTAACTATTCACATACTAATTGTTGACGCTCAGAAGTAGGTTCACACATTCCAATACACATGGATCTTAGATTACATTCTCAAGGTCTGACACACAGTCTTTCCACATAAACACTAATTAACCCTAACCCTAACCTTAACCCCTTCAAATACACATTAAGACTGTCTTATATCCCGGTTATCACATACAAGTTCTAATTAAATCCTAATATTTACTAAACCTAAACATTTAGCGCCCCATATCTAAAAGATAATGGGACCCCTGACCATTAGGTCCAGTTGTGACTGACTCTGGGGTTGCAGTGCTCATCTCGCTTTATTGGCCAAGGGAGCCAATGGTCATGTGGCCAGCATGACTAAGCCGCTTCTGGCGAACCAGAGCAGCGCACGGAAACCCCGTTTACCTTCCTGCCGGAGCGGTACCTATTTATCTACTTGCACTTTGACGTGCTTTGGAACTGTTAGGTTGGCAGGAGCAGGGACCAAACAACGGGAACTCACCCCATTGCGGGGATTCGAACCGCCGACCTTCTGATCAATTCTGGGCTGCATCAAAGCCAATGCAATTCTGGGCTGCATCAATAGGAGTATAGCATCTAGATTAAGGGAAGTAATAGTGCCACTGTATTCTGCTCTGGTCAGACCTCACCTGGAGTACTGTGTCCAGTTCTGGGCACCACAGTTCAAGAAGGACACTGACAAACTGGAACGTGTCCAGAGGAGGGCAACCAAAATGGTCAAAGGCCTGGAAACGATGCTGTCAGAGCTGCCTCAGGTCCCAGCTCACAGAGGACCAACGCCAGTCCGTTGTTATATAAAATAGTCTTTATTGAAGCTCAGTTTCTCTTTTACAGCCACGGCGCGCAGCTCTACGTCTTAAACCCTAGACCGCCGAAGCTCCGTCTGAGTCTCCTCCCCCCAGACACCAGTTTAAGACCCTAGCCTTGCTCCACCTCTTCCTCTGCTCCCTCCTCCTCTGGGTCCGCTGGTCCGCCGAGGTCCTGCCCTTCCTAGACTCTTCTGACGCTGAGTCCCCTGAGTCTTCCCCCTCCCTCCGGCGAGCTTTAGGACCTGGGTCCCAATCCGGGTTTTCTGCTGTCCCGCGCGCCTGTACATTTGAACTTGGCGCGCGCGCCCAGCCTGCCACCTTCCTTCTGACCGTTATACTGCTCCTGTCGCTGCTTCCCTCTTCGGGGATGCTAGCTGGGTCTGACTCCTCCTCCCTGCTTGCCGGAGGAGACGCTGACTCTGACCTATGGGACTCTTCCCCCCCACTACACTCTGGTGGGGAAGCTGGTCCTGATTTCCAGCTACTGCTTTGGGAGTCTCCTCTGGCCCCCTGCTTCTGGTGTGTCCCCCCTGGGACCCCCCTTGCCCTGGCCATCGGCGCCCCCTTCTGGGAATCTTCTGATTCACTGGAGAGGCTTATGGAATCTCTCGGGTCACTGTCATTCTGCCCTCCGCTGCCCTCAGATTCTTCCCCTTTGCTCTCCATTTCCTCTCTCCCCTGCGCCTCTGCTCCTGAGCCCCTGGCAGATGCCTTATGAGGAACGGCTAAGGGAGCTGGGCATGTTTAGCCTGGAGAAGAGGAGGTTAAGGGGTGATATGATAGCCATGTTCAAATATATAAAAGGATGTCACATAGAAAGGTTGTTTTCTGCTGCTCCAGAGAAGCGGACACGGAGCAATGGATCCAAACTACAAGAAAGAAGATTCCACCTAAACATTAGGAAGAACTTCCTGACAGTAAGAGCTGTTCGACAGTGGAATTTGCTGCCAAGGAGTGTGGTGGAGTCTCCTTCTTTGGAGGTCTTTAAGCAGAGGCTTGACAACCATATGTCAGGAGAGCTCTGATGGTATTTCCTGCTTGGCAGGGGGTTGGACTCGATGGCCCTTGTGGTCTCTTCCAACTCTATGATTCTATGATTCTATGATCGGCAAGTCCTAGGCTCTGTGGTTTAACCCACAGCGCCACCTGCGTCCCACCCCACATATCTATTACAGTATAAATACTGAGCTTGATGTACCAGTGGAAGGAAATTATATATATATATCCAGTAGCACCTTAGAGACCAACTAAGTTTGTTCTTGGTATAAGCTTTCATGTGCATGCACACTTCTTCAGATACCTGAAGTGGAAGGAAGTAAAATATAGTTAAAAATCAATATGAATGTTTACTGGGATGAATGTAGCACCTCCCATCTTCAATCCCAGGAAAGGCAGGATCAGCGTGTCTCCTTATTCCTCCCTCAGCTGAGATCTGGCAGAATGGAAGACATGAGAGCCATCTTTCAATATCTGGAGGGCTGACCCGCGGAAGAGGGAGCCAGCTTGTTTTCTCCTGCCCTAGAGGGGAGCACCCAGAATAAGGGACCCAGAGGACCAGAAAGCAGTTTCTGCTGCCTAAACAGCAGGAAGAACATTCTGATGGGAAGAGCAGCAGAATCCCTTGGGAGATGGCGGACTCTCCTTCCTTGGAGGTTTTTAAGCAGAGGTTGGATGGCCATCTGTCATGGATGCTTTAGCTGAGATTCCTTCCTTTTGTTGTAAGCCAAAAATGGCTTATCTTTTGAGTTACACCAATAAAACTCAGAGACAAGAGGAGTTAGGAGTCCATCGTTGTTTATTGCAAAGCAATGGGTTACAGTCGAATCTTTTCGCAAAACTGCAACCCCGCCCAAGGGTCAGGGCAGGGGTGTTTGTAAGTTTCAAACAAAGCATTTCCATTTCCACCAATCATATACATAATTACCTCATTTCATGTTTAATACACATGCACAATGAGCATTGCTGACTAAGCTTTGATTCTCACCGTGATCACTTACATGTTGGGAACCTGTGTTACGTGTAGCCATTTGCAACATGTATCAACTTAGGTTCTAGCTTTATGGAAGACACTCTTACTCGGCTACGAGTGATCGGCAAAGAAGAAGATTTCTGGTGGCCCTTTGGCCCACCACACACTTTCAGGTGGAAGGATTAGATGGCACTCAGCGTCCCTTTCAACTCTCTCATTCAAAGATTCTGGGGTGAGGTTTCCTGCTTCTTGCAGAGCGTTTCTCACTGCAAGCTGTCCCTCCTGCTTCCGGCCAAAGGAGCGAACAGCTCAGGAGGCCAGCCAAGAGGCTCCCCCCATCAGACATCCCTGGAGTGTGGTTCCTCCTGGTGTGTTGCGTCCTCTCTCTCTCTCTAGCTCTGTGTGTGTCTCGAGAAAGAACTGCGGAGAGGAAGAGATGGGGGAGCTCCGTGTACTGAGCTGGGTTCCTAGAGATGACAGGAAAGAAAGGGGGCTGGTCCTCCCGAGCAAAAGCCCCCCCCCCTCCCGGCCTCTTCCTGCAAGGGGCGCAGCTTTTGTCTCTGCGCTCTGCAAATGCTGCCTCGGCGCCGCCATCTGGGACCTGGTGAGTCTTAGCTGTCTCCCCCCATAGGGTGCACTGGGGTTTCGGGGGGTCGCTAGGGAGGATGCATGGGGCCAGCTCAGCTCATGCAGGGGGCTGGGCGCTGTGCATAGAGTCCGGAAGGGACTCCAGGGGTCCAACCCCTCAAAGCAAGGCCGGGAGCAGAGGTTGCTGCCCGCTTCTCCTCTGCAAAGGCTCAGGGAGCGAGCGAGTTGACAGGAGCTTTGCAACTCTGTCTGCCTTTGGATCAATACGCTGCTTTCCGCTTTAGTGAGGGTCTTTGGGTCAGGGGAAAGACAGCATGCAAATACAGTGGTACCTCGGGTTAAGTATTTAATTCGTTCCGGAGGTCCGTTCTTAACCTGAAACTGTTCTTAACCTGAAGCACCACTTCAGCTAATGGGGCCTGCCGCTGCGCCGCTGCTGGCACAATTTCTGTTCTCATCCTGAAGCAAAGTTCTTAACCTGAGGTACTATTTCTGGGTTAGTGGAGTCTGTAACCTGAAGCGTCTGTAACCCAAGGTACCGTACCACTGTAAGCGAAATTGAGATTGTAGCGGGACAGAAACTTTGGGGCATAAGATGATAGAACCACAGAATTGTAGGGTTGGAAGGGATTCCGTGGGTCATCTAGTCCCCTTGCAATGCCGGAACCTCAACTAAAGCATCCATGGCAAATGACCATCCAACCTCTGCTTAAAAGCTCCAAGGAAGGAGAGTCCACAACCTCCCTAGGGAGACTGTTCCATGCAAGAAAAAGAAACGAAAACTTGACCTCTGCAACAAATATGGAAAGACTGTTGGAAGATGGAGGGCAGAAAAAAGAAAGGGTGCTGAGTTAAACTATGCAACTCCCTCCTGCAGGAAGCAGCGATGCTCACCAACCCAGATGGCTTTAAAAATCAAAACCTGAAAAGGGAGAAAAACTGCAAATCCCAACAGGCTCCTCCCTGTCTTCTTGAGGCTCTATATGTGTCTTTTTTGGGGGGGGGAGATGCCCTTGATTAGTCGCCAATGGTATGTGGAGCGTTCTGATAGAGCAGCACTCCAGATATTATTAACCCAAGCCTCTATTGGTATATTAGAGGTTTCCTTCCGTCGTTGGGAAATTATTAGTTTAGCTGCTGTGAACAGGAAAGAAATTAATTTTTTAGATTAAGGTTGGAGTTTGGGGTCAAATCTAGTGATAATAAAGCAAGTGCCAAATTAGGAGGGATATATTGTTTGGTAATTTTGGAGGTCAGGTGAAAAACTTTTTGCCAAAAGGCATGGACCACAGTACACTCCCACCAACCATGGAAGTAGGAACCTCTTTCTCCACAACTTTTCCAGCATAATGGTGAGCTGGACGGATTGATCTTTGCAAGGCGGGGGGGGGGGGGAGTGCAAAGTCACCAAAAGATAATTTTAAGGGACATTTCCTGGAGGTGAGCTGAAATTGTTTTTAGAGATGGATTACGCCATATAGATTCCCATGTTTTTTCACTTATTGAGGTTTCTATGTCAGTTTCCCATTTCATTCAAATATCTTCCATGCTGCCCACAAAGCTGTCTACTGTATATGTATCTTGAGGCTTTATCCCGCCCCCCAACACACACACTTGAGGCTTTATATTATTATTGTTCTGGTTGTTATTGTGAGTATTGCTATCACTACTACTACATTTATTGCCCAGGGCAGGTTACAACCATTTTAAACCTTCGTATTAACAAGAGTGAAAACAAATGACAGTCAGAGCAATAGGGTGGGTCCTGAAAGCACAAGTCTCCAGTGTCAGAGGCCATAGTGAAGAGGGGAAGGTACCAGGTGCTAGGATCATGGCAATGAAAGTACTGAATAGAGTTCGGGTGATAACACAATCCTGTTTAACACCTGATCCCACTATGAATGGTTCACTTTGAGGGCCCAGAAACCTATGTCCCCATCGTGGAAGGACGTGTGGATCCAGAATTGGCCTCCACAGTCACTTATGGACTCACAATAAAAACTGTGTTTATGGAGGACAATCTTACTTGGCTACGAGTGCGGAGGCCCTGCCACAAGGATGTGCTGTTTTGGGCTACCACTTCACCTAAAATGCAGAGGGTGGTGAAACTCCCAAGAGAGCCCCCTTTGCCAACTGAGCACCCAAGAGTGTGGAGAAGGAGATATTTGAGGGCTTAAGTGAACAGCTCACGTGAGCACTTTGAATTGGGTCTGGAAATGAATGGACAACCCCAGCAGCTCTTTTAAAACAAGAATTAAATGTGTTATCAAAGGTTGTTGCACAGCCCCCAGTCCCCTCCCCATTCATCTTTTCATGGTGGTAGATGGGAAGAAGTGGTTGTGGAGTAGGGTGAAGGAGCAATGAGGTGACATAGGCTGAGCAGTGGGGCAGCCAGGGTTCCCCCGGGCCTGAGCGAATCTCTCTTCTAAGCAGTTGACAAACCATAAAAAATAAATCCAGTGGTCAGGATTCACATAACCAGCTCCATCACTTGCACAATGGGGCGTCTCCCAAAATCCTCTACCTCCCTGTGCCCCCATGTGCCCCTTGACATTGGCTAAGGGCATCGGGAGGGTACCTCAGTCCCCAGAACATCACATGGCTTGCTCAGACAGAATGATTAGAATAACACCATGTGGAGTTTCAGCCATTTTCACAAAGATGTTAAAAAAAGCATGCACAATTAAAATGTGCAGCAAAAGAATCCTATTAAAACAACATAGCAAACAACAGAACAATGTTGGAGATAATGTTTATGCTAAGAGAATGACATTTTTCTTTGTCTTTTAGGGTCCTTTGTGCTTTGAAGAAGTAGCTGTTTGTGGGATCATGGACTCTCTCGGTAAGGCTCCCTGTTGGATCACATGTGTTTTGAAATTCAATACATATTCCTAAGTGAGGAACCTCCAGTATCTTAAAGGAGCTCAACAGCACCACCTACAGCATCTGGAATTCTAACCCTTCCACAGCCTGGAATGAAGGGCTGTCTGCTGTTTGGTCTGTGAATATTCTTCCTCCGGTTATTCCTTTTTAAACCATGATCAGCCTGGTCTGAACTGATAAATGTAGACTACAGAGTAGCTTCTGTCTATTTTTGGTTGAACAAAGAGACAGCAGATTCCATTAATGGGCCAAATAAACCCCATCCCAGGAAAGAGCTAGGTTTTTCAAATCTCAGGTTCTCATAAATAGCATTAATTAGCATTGTTCAATACTTTGAGGCTCCATTTCTTCCCAAGGCTTTAATCTATTTCGCTGTTTGTTGCAGGTGGTGATGATTTGGAAATTAAGAACAAGGGAGACCACAGCAAAATACACACAGTGGAGAGACAATCAAAATATTCAGAGGGTGGAGAGAATTTCAGTCAGAGATCCCATTCCATTTCCAGTCATGGAAATCCTATTGGGAAGAAACCTTTCCAGTGCTTGGAATGTGGAAAGAGCTTCATTCGAAACTCCCATCTCACTTCCCATCAAAGAATTCATACTGGGGAGAAACCTTATCAGTGCTCGGAATGTGGAAAGAGCTTCAGTCAGAAGGAAAATCTCACTTCCCATCAAAGAATTCATACTGGGGAGAAACCCTATCATTGTCTGGAATGTGGGAAGAGCTTTAATACAAGCACAAGCTTCCATAGACATCAAAATATTCACCGTGGGGAGAAACCCTACACGTGCTTGGAATGTGGAAAGAGCTTCAGTCAGAACACTCACCTCACTTCCCATCGGAGAATTCACAGTGGGGAGGAACCATATCAGTGCTTAGAATGTGGAAAGAGCTTCACCTGGAAGGAAAGTTTCATTTCCCATCAAATAATTCATACAGGGGATAAACCGTATCAGTGCTTGGAATGTGGAAAGAGCTTTAATACAAGCAAAACCTTTCGTCAACATCAAAGTATTCATTGTGGGGAGAAACCATTTCGGTGTGAAGAGTGTGGAAAGATTTTTAGACGAAAGGAAAATCTCACTTCCCATCAAAGAATTCATACAGGGGAGAAACCATATCAGTGCTTTGAATGTGGAAGAAGCTTCACCCAGAAGGAAAGTCTCAATTCCCATCAAATAATTCATACAGGGGAGAAACCCTATCTGTGCTTGGAATGTGGAAAGAGCTTCAACCAGAGGGCCAATCTCATGGCTCACCAAAGAATCCATACAGGGGAGAAACCCTATCACTGCTCAGAATGTGGCAAGAGCTTCAGTAAGAGGGCCAATCTTACGGCCCATCAAAGAGTTCATACAGGAGAGAAACCATATCAGTGCTCGGAATGTGGAAAGAGCTTCAGTCGGAACTCCCATCTCACTTCCCATCAAAGAACTCACAGTGAGGAGAATCATAGAATCACAGAATTGTAGAATTGGATGGGAACCAGCGTTGAACCAAAGGTGAGACTGTTCTGGAAGGCCTGCAAATGCCATAGTGGTAGTCAAGATAACCCCAAACTAATTGATAGTTGTTTAAGTAATGAATTCACCTATGTTTATGTATTTGCTCTGGTATATGCAAATTGGCTTGCTTTGACGCTATGCTTATGTGTGGGCTGGGGTGCTGGGCTCTTGGCCCAGAAAAGGAACCTATCTGTAAGACTTGAGTATTTGCTACCTATGCCCTCATTGGCCAGGTGGAGTAAAGGGAGGTTCTCGCCAAAGTGATATATGCTACTTTGTGCAAAAGTATTACTTAATATATTAGCACATTGTAGAAAAGTTATGACGACCTCTCACTGCTCTGGTGGCTTACTCGTGTCTGTAACGGCAGTGGGGCTGTGCAGGTATGTCACAAATTTACACCTTTCTGGAATAAAGCACTAGAACTGGTCATTCTGGCACTTTTGACATCTTTCCTTGGTATCCCTGCATCTAACCACTCGTACAGGCCCTCCTTTGAGCCTGTCAATTGGCGTAGATACTAAAATAAGAGTGGGTTGGGGTAGGCAAGGCCATGGTGCTGCAGAGGATCCAGCTTATTTTATTGATGACTTGTTAATTATTTCACATGACTTATGCTGCATTTGTGATGTTATGTTCTATTGTTTGTAAGCCACTTTGGGATTTCTTTGAATGGAAAGTGGTATAGAAATACAATCAATCCATTCCAATCCAATCCCCAGCCTGTTGGGCAGCTCAGGGAGATGGGCAGTGTTGACAACTTTCCCCTTCCTCCCCATCTGGGGTAAAGCTCCCCGTTCCTCCCTGTCTGAACAGGCAGAGGTCAAGGAGGGAGCAACTGTGCCTGCCCCTGTTGGGAGGCCTGAAAAAGCCAAGAAAATGGATTATGTGGGGAGGAAAAGGAGAGATCTTTGGAACCCAGAGAAAGTGGCGGGGGGGGGGGAATAGCAGGTGGATCAGCAGAGCAGGAGTGACAGAGGAACCAGGAAGAACAAACAAAGAAAAATGGGAAATCCTTTCCAAAACGGACCATGGAGGTAGAACAGGTCAGTGACTTGCAAATTGAGCTTTCATCTGATTTTGGATATAATATTCAGTTAGAATCTTGGGAAAGACTGTGGAATAAAGGTATGAACTTTACTGCATGTAGTGCACTTAAAAAAATGTGATGAAAATGATGTATAGATGGTATTTAACACCATCAAAACTTGGTAAAATGTATAAGACAAGATCTAACAAGTGTTGGAAATGCAAAGAAAAGGAAGGTATCTTTTACCATATGTGGTGGACTTGTAAAGAGGTGAAGGCTTTTTGGGAAATGATATATAACGAGTTAAAGAAAATGTTTTAAAACACTTTTGTTAAAAAACCAGAAGTCTTTTTACTGGGTATAGTAGGTGAAGAGATACGAAAAAAGATAAAAGACTGTTCATATATGGAACAACAGCGGCAAGAATCCTTTTAGCCCCAAAATGGAAATGACAAGAAGTACCAGTGAAAGAAGAATGGCGGATGAAAATGATGGACTTTGTGGAACTGGCGAAGCTGACGGGATAAATCTGAAACCAACACGATCAAGTACATCCAAAAATACTGGAGTAAATTTATACAATATTTGAAAGATCACTGTAAGCAATTAACAACACTAGTAGGGTTATCTGAAGACTTGTAAAAAGATTTTTTTTAACCTTTCTATATATATTTAAATTTTGATGTATTTAGTACAGTGGTACCTCTGGATGCGAACGGGATCCGTTCTGGAGCCCCATTCGCATCCTGCAGTGAATGCAACCTGCACGTGCGCGGGTCACGATTCGTCGCTTCCGCACAAGCGCGTGATGTCATTTTGAGCGCATGCGCATGCGCGAGCAGCGAAACCCGGAAGTAACGCGCTCCATTACTTCTGGGTCGCTGCGAAGCACAACCCGAAAACGCTCAACCCGAAGCTACTTCAACCCGAGGTATGACTGTAATGAGTTATATTGGAATTGGAAAATATATAAAATGCTGTGATATAAGGTTAGTTTTGAAAGCCAAGAGGTGGGAGGGAAGGAAGCTGACAGGCTGTAAAGAGCCAAAGAAGTAAAGTGGATAATAATGATGTGATTATATATGTTTAAATGGAAAATTAATAAAAATTATTTAAAAAATAATAATTGAGTTTTCATCCGAATTTGTTTGCACCAAGTTTGCAAGGAGGTGACTGGTCTGATCCTGCAGGGCTATTCTTGTGCTCTGGCCTGGAAGGGTCCTTGGCCCCCAGTCACCCACCAGGCCCTGATGAGACCCAGACTGGCTGGGCTTCGGCAAGGAGCGCACCTTCTGCTCCTACTAGGGGCCTTGCTGGGGTCTGCTTTACCCCTTTGAAGGCCAGGACTGAAACTATTTTTATATATTGCAAATTATTCCTCCTTTCATTTTTCTTTCTTTTTCAATGGTGTTGGTTCCTTAGTACACTTTTTAAAGAGAGAACCTGATTCAGCCAGAACTGCCACCATCTTTTTACTGTTTGCTGCCTCCTTTGGAATGCCACTGGGCTGCTGGGCTGTGTTCCCTGCAGCCCCAGGAGTTCCCAGGGAAGAGGAAGAATGGCCTGCTTGTCCCTCCTGAGTGAACAGTATGTTTCTGTGGCCTGGGGAGGCGCAAGAGAGGCAGCCTATGTGCCAAGGGCAGGGGTTGCAGCTGCTCTGCAGGGCAGCAGGAAAGGCTCAAAGCGAATGTGGCAGACGGTGTTGGCATTACCCACCTTTGGAAGGAAACTGTAGTCTAAACTTTTGCATTTCAAACCCCCCCCCCTTATTATTGGTATACATGGTGAATTCTGTCTTTTTCAATGATTTGTGATATACCTTTTTGGAGTAGAAAGCTTTTGTATGACACACTCCAATAAATGTTTTGCAATTTTACCCAGTGTCTTTGTGGTAAACACTCCCATGAGGCAAATATTTATGTAGCGCAGTCTGTGACCTTAGGAAAGCTGAGGCTCAGAGAGATGGATTTGCTCACAGCCCTCAGATGTCTTGGTCCAGTGGACCAAAAGCCAATTTCTCCGCAAAGGAGTGATGAGTGAGAAATGTTTCTGTCCAGCTAAAGGCAACACCTGGGAGATGCCCAAGGCACCCTGGTCGAGGGTTCACGGCCAAACCTTTATGGTAGTGGTGGACACCTATTCCAAATGGCTAGAGGTGGCCCCGATGCCCTCCACCACTACCCAAGCCGTCATCCGGGTGCTGCGGGGCCTGTTTGCAACTCATGGGTGTCCTGATGTCCTCGTCTTGGACCTCAGTTCACATCAGGCACCTCTTCTCCTCCTTCTGGAACCGTCCCCTTCCCCTTGCCTCCTCGCTTTAGACTTTTCCCTCACAAGTCGGGGTACAGGTAGGGTTGCCATATTTTGAAGAGCAAGAAAGAGGACACATTTGCCGACTGCTACTTTTAACTATGGATCGCTATGACGACTCTCATTTTACATACCCATGAAAAAGAGGACGTGTCCTGGAAAAAGAAGATGTATGGCAGGCACAGCTCATATGCCCCTCCCCCCCAAGCCAGGCTGCCTGCGGGGTTTGGGGACAGGTGGTGATGGCCGCCTTGTCCGGTGTGGGTGGAGGTCCATCTCCCATTCTGTACGGGAGGCACACGCCCAAGTTGCACTGCCTGTGTTCTTCCGAGTGCTGTTTCCGTGCTTGAGGGAACACAGAGGGAGAGAGAGTACAGCCCAGACTCCCGCCGGAGAAAAATAGCGGGAGTGATGAAAAGCATAAAGGTACTGCAATATTTTGGAGCAGGAACCAGCAAGCCACTCCAGTATCCCTGCCAAGAAAACTCCATGGACAAAGACAGGAGTGCCCGGCGTGCTCTGGTCCATGGGGTCACGAAGAGTCGGACACGACTAAACAACTAAGCAACAACAACTGCAGTATTTGCAGACACCTAAAGCAAGTTTCAGTGTTACCTTCACCTACTCGCATTGCTTACTCTCACATCCTGGATCTAGTACATACCTAATTAATGCCCCTGATATCTAACGATTCATAAGAAATTAGAGTGGGGTGCATTCTCACCCACCTCTTAAAAGATCAGAGTACGGAAGGGTAACATGGGAATTATAACGAGTGTGATAAGAGCCTCAATAAGTGTACAAATTTCAGTATATGGTTGTTGTTGTTGAGTCGTTTAGTCGTGTCCGACTCTTCGTGACCCCATGGACCAGAGCACGCCAGGTACTCCTGTCTTCTCACTATATGGTAAAGTGAATTTAAAAGGTTTAAGGCTTGGAGTACTACTCCTAAACATGCTTTATATAAACAAGATTCCATAGGGTTGCCCTTAACATTTTTTATAGGTTTCAGCAGGACTTAGGCATGACTAACTTTCTCTGGACCAGGGACATAATGTTATCCAATGCCCACATTGCTAAGTATATAGACTTTGTGGTAATGAGTGAGTAGAATGTCAGTGTATTTTATTTTATTTTTTAAAATGTGATTTTATGCAGCAAATATTTGTACTTTATGTGTCTCTTTAAACCTGTCAACAATGAAGAACAATTTGCAATGATTGTTTTTAATATGCTGGCCCAATAAAGTACATTATCTATTCTTACTACTTTTTCATTGTTACCATATGTCCAAAAGTTCCAGGCATCCACATCATAATTATATACCATTACTAAGAATGCAGAGGCATTGCCACACAAATAAACTCCTCCTTGAGTTTTTGCTCAGGCCAAATGTAGTGACAAATGCACAGTGTAAGGTTATGTTATGAATTCATTCTTATGAATTAAAATACTTTTATTTTCTTAAAAAATTAGCCAAAGTCCTTAGAAGTTATATCAACTTACAAATCAAATGTAGAATCATATAATCATGAAGTTGGAAGGGGTCATCTAGGAATCCTGCTCACAGCCATCCCTGGCTGGAAATACACTTAAATAAAAACTGAAAATAAAGGAGTTCCATGCTGTCAGAGCTGCCCCAGGTCCCAGCTCACAGAGGACCGACGCCAGTCCGTTGCTATATTAAATAGTCTTTATTGAAGTTCAGTTTCACATTTACAGCCACGGCGCGCAGCTCTACGTCTTAAACCCTAGACCGCCGAAGCTCCGTCTGAGTCTCCTCCCCCCAAACACCAGTTAAGACCCTAGCCTTGCTCCACCTCTTTCTCTGCTCCCTCTTCCTCTGGGTCCGCCTGTCCGCCGGGGTTTTCCCCTATCTAGACTCTTCTGACGCTGACTCCCCCGAGTCTTCCCCCTCCCTCCGGCGGGCTTTAGGACCTGGTTCCCAATCCGGGTTTTCTGCTGTCCTGCGCGCCTGTACATTTGAACTTGGCGCGCGCGCCCAGCCTGCCACCTTCCTTCTGACCGTTATACTGCTCCTGTCGCTGCTCCCCTCTTCGGGGACGCTAGCTGGGTTTGACTCCTCCTCCCTGCTTGCCGGAGGAGACGCTGACTCTGACCTATGGGACTCTTCCCCCCCACTACGCTCTGGTGGGGAAGCTGGTCCTGATTTCCAGCTACTGCTTTGGGAGTCCCCGCTGGCCCCCTGCTTCTGGTGTCCCCCCCTGGGACCCCCCTTGCCCTGGCCATCGGCGCCCCCTTCTGGGAATCTTCTGATTCACTGGAGAGGCTTATGGAATCTCTCGGGTCACTGTCATTCTGCCCTCCGCTGCCCTCAGATTCTTCCCCTTCGCTCTCCATTTCCTCTCTCCCCTGCGCCTCTGATCCTGAGCCCCTGACACATGCCAAAGTGGCTAACAAGCTCTTGTGAATGTACAAACTTGCCATTTCTCTTTCACAAGGTCAAACTACACATACATGTACTTTTGTTGTTGTTTAGTCATTTAGTCGTGTCCGACTCTTCGTGACCCCATGGACCAGAGCACGCCAGGCACCTCTGTCCTCCACTACCTCCCGCAGTTTGGTCAAACTCATGCTGGTAACCTCGAAAACACTATCCAACCATCTCGTCCTCTGTCGCCCCCTTCTCCTTGTGCCCTCCATCTTTCCCAGCATCAGGGTCTTCTCCAGGGAGTCTTCTCTTCTCATGAGGTGGCCAAAGTACTGGAGCCTCAGCTTCACGATCTGTCCTTCCAGATACATGTACTATGTGCACTTTTTTTCCGAAAAAGGCAGATCACTGCCATAGCCCTGGTTACACATAGCTTAATTACCTCAAAGCTGGATTACTGCAATGTGTTCTGTCTGGGGCTGCCCTTAAAGAGCATTCAGAAACCCACACATTAGGAATATGGCTGATTTTTTGACCAGTTTGAAGCATCACATTTTGCCACTTCTGTATCATATTCACTAGCTTATTATTCATTTTCAGGAGCTATTTGAAGTTTTTGTTATCACCCCAAAAGCCTAAAATCAATGGTGGGGGACCTCTGGTCACAGGTCTAGTTAGTATCAGACGCAACTAAAGATGGATAAAACCATGAATTTCAATTTCTGTTTCCCATTTTTCCAGTCCTAAATTGAGTTTGCCCTGTTCCACACCAGTTTGTTAAAAATAAATAAATAAAAATTCCACACAAAAATTAATACAATTTTCTCCTAATATTCACACATTTCCCAACATTATTTTCACTATTTTGTGTCAGTTTCTGTTTTGCCACTGAGCAGCTGCTTAGAGTCACAAGGCTCTGTTTACATTCCAGAGACAGTGCAGGCTTGTTGGAAGTCTCACGGGAATGGGAGACAGATGTGACGTTACTGGTTTCCTTTGTTCCTTTGTTCCATAGTTGTTCGGTTGCTCTCTGCTCTCACAGGTAGAGGATGTATTTTTCTTTGTCTGCGTAGTGAGAAATAAAGCATAGTGATGTAGCCATAAATCTCATCACTTCTGCTGCCTGGATTCTCTGCTGAATGGGGGAACGTGCCTTGGAGCCTCATCAAAGGCTCAAGGTTGTTAATTATTCATCGGAGGCGATTCCAGAGGACTCGGCTGGAAGATGAGCTTTATCAGCTCGCCCGAGTGGAGATTCCAACATTTTGTGGGTCACTGTTGCTTACTGGGAGGGAGATGGGGAGGCCCAAGGTGTATAGCAAGCCTACCTAAGGAGACGGGATTGCTTTTGAGTGAAGGTATGGCTAATCTTTGCCCAGAGTCTTCAGTCCTCAGTTGTCCCTTGCAAGGTGCCAATGGCTGAATACTCTTAATTCTCTTGTTCTGCATTAATGAGCAGGAACCTACTGAGCAGGAATATTGACCTTCAAACATCCCTGGAAGTTAGGTTACACCAAACAGGACCGTACAAATCAATTTATATCTTAGTATTAGAATTACAAATATACAACAGATTGGTTCATATGACCCCAGGAGGTCTCTCAAGAACTCCCAGGACAAGAATTTGTAATTTGTAGGAGTTTAACAGTGACATCATAGGCATGTGTGCTCAGAAGTAACCCTGGTTGAGTTTACTGGGATTTAGTCCCAGGTAAATGAGCATAAGATTGCAGCCTAAGACTTAATGGGCTTGATAAGGCATATATGGAATCAGGCTGTAAAAATATTGCAGAAGTAAATCCATTTAACTGGATTTTCATTCCACTTGGAATGAATAATAATTTGTACTCACAATATGTATTAGTGTGTGTGTGTTAAATCTGACTTTGTATGTTGTTTGGTATGTTACAGTTCTTAAGTTCATTGAAAATTTTATTACAATTATCCAAACTCTCTAAGGAAACAAAGAAAGAAATTTCATATAAATCCACAGATACTTCAGAAATAAGAAGTAAAATCAACTGACACCATCATTTGTTTACCCTAAACCAATATTTTTAGATATCAATATCAATTTATTGTGTAAGTCTAAGACCCTGTAGTTTGAGATTGAACAGCAGAGAAGTACAGGAGTAAAACTCACTTTTCTTGTTTCCTAGCACCAACTTTACTGAAATCAGTCTAGAGGCATGCAGACTATGTCAGGCTTTTTTTCTCTTATTCTTGCCCTTTGCTATACTCATCATTTTGGGGCAGGAAGTGGATGGACATACTCATTTCCCATTGCTAATGGACTACTTCTACATATTAAAATCTGCTTAACCTCTGATGCTACATTGGCTACAATAAAAAATTTTATACTTACATTAATAACACATATGTTCCTGTGACTGAAGGACTCTAGAAGCACCTTTTGGTAACCACTGTTATAGCTATCAATCATTTCAACCTCCACCATTAAAGAGAACATTATTATTTTTGCGGGGGGGAATAGATGCCACTTGGCATGCAAATATGCTGGAAGACCTTGTGGGGGACATACAGTAGGTATCTCTGGATAGATCCAGTAATTGGTGGTGGAGCTTCAAGCTCTGGCAGCGGGGGGGGGGGGAGCGGAGAGCAGGTGGGGGCGTGGCACGTGTCCTGGGGGCGTGGCACACTGCCCGCAGGGGCGTGGTGCCCAGCATGGGCGGGGGCCAGTTGCAATGGCACCCCACCGGGATTGCGCTGCCGGGGGCAGTGAGCTCCCCCCACTACCCTCTTCCTCTGCCAGTGCCCGTAATCCAGAGATGGGGAACCTTTGACACTCCAGATGTTGCCGAGCTGTAACTCCCATCCTGACCATTGGCAAATCCACACCGTGATCAACTCCCGCCCGTAACCCAATGTCCCCTCTGTGAAAGGACGTGTGGATCTAGAATTGGCCTCCACAGTCACTTACGGACTCATTGTTAAAACACATATAGTCTGACCCTGAAATGCAGAGATGGGACCCCAAGAGGCATCTAGTCTGACCCCTGAAATGCAGAGATGGGACCCAAAGAAGCATCTAGTCCATTCCCCCACGAAGTGGGGACCAAGACAGAGCTCTTCCTCCGCCCCGGGAGCAGGCTGTTCCCCCCCTCTGTCCCAAACTCCCTGAGCTCTGTTCGTGCACAGGCACCCCGACACCATTTTTTTGGGCAGAAATCCCATTTTATTTCACAGGAGACGAGAACGGCTACAGAAAAAACGCCACAGTTTTCTCCTTTGTTTCGTGTTGTCCGCCTTCAGCACGTCCAGAGAAATCGTGCCCAGTCAGAAAGGGATCTGAGGGTCATCCAGCCCAACCCGCCAGCTAGGCAGGCATCCTTCTGGGGAGAAAGGGGCTAGTCTGTTGGCGCGCTGATGGGCAGCTCCACAATCCGAACCTGGTCCTGCGAATGCAAAGCGGGTAGTTCATGGCCAGGCATGGAATTCACCAATGCAGGCCCCACCTCTTATCACAGGGAGGCAGGTAGACTGCCTCTGGCGTGTGGAAGGGGGACGGGGCTGGGGGTGGGACAGGGGGTCCAGGGTGAGAGGGACTCACGTCTTGGAAGGCAACATTGTCAAAGGCCTCGAACTGGGGCGCCTCCAACGGGCAACACTTCTTCCGACAGCGGTGAGCGACGGCCCAGGCCAGGAGCCCCCCAAAAAGGGCGCAGGCGGCTGCGGATGCAACGGCAGCCTCCCAAGGCAGGGTGGGGGCACTGCTCCCTGGGGGGGGGGAAGACTCCGTTTGTATGCGCCTGTGTGTCTCTCAAACCCTGGATCTCCAAAGCATTGGGCCTCCCCTCACCTTCACTACTGCTCTCCTGGCGCCGCTCCTCGCACCCACCTCCTGCCACGTATGCTACGTCATCCACCGCGATGGCACCCGTGCCGGACCAATCGCCAGCGCCCACTTCCAGCACCACCTGCGAGACATGGGTTCAAACCAGCAGTGCCTCCTGCCAGGAAGGAATTCGAATCTGCCACCTGCTGAACGTCTCATGCCAGAGGCGTTCCAAAGTGGCAGGGAGTCCCAAAGTTTCACGGTGCCATGGCAAGAAGTCCCAAAGGGGTAATTGGAATTCTCTTTTTCGAGCCAAAAAGCCCCACGTCTTTATAGGGCATCCAGTGGCAGGCAGTCCCAAAGGTGGACAAAAGCTGTCACATTTAAAGGAGTTTAATAGGAATAATATAAGGAAGTTTAATTATCAAAGGAACACCAGTGGCAGGCAGTCTCAAAGGCACCAAACTTTCTGAGATGGCTTACCTGGAACTCACCACCGCTGTCAATGAGAAGCCTCTCCTCCCGCCAGGCCCAACCTTGGTGGCTGGCGGCCCGCCAGACCACACGCTCCCCCTGCGGGCCGGACAGGAGCACCCGGAGCTCAGCATTGCCTGCTGGGGAGGGAAAGGAAGGCGGAGTCATGTGGGCAGTGGCTTCGGGTGCCAGAGGCTCCGTAATAATTCCCTTCCCGCATCAGGGAGTTCCACCGGCCCAAGTAAAACCTGACTCACCACTTTTCCCCTGGAAGGCCATGCGGTAGCGGAAGTGGAAGCAGCCGGTGCCTTCAAGGGTCTCGCTGGTGAGGCGGGCGGCGTGGTGTCCGGTGCCCACTTGGACGGAGATGTGGCGCCCTAGAGAGAAATGAAAATAATAATCGGGAGAAAAGCCCGATTACTCGCACCCGGACCCGGCTCAGAGCAAACCATTATTGTGACGATTCATTCCGATCCCCTCGGCCCACCTTGCAGGGTCGTAAGTTGTAAGCCTCCCGCCCCAGACGCTTGGGAGTACCCCGTGCGAGACTCACCGTCGGCGCCCGCCCCGGCCCAATCCCAGCTCCACCAATCACCGTGGGGCTTCCTCCAGCCACAGGTGCCGGATTCAAAATCGCATGAGCCTGAGTGGAGAGAAGCCAGAGCAGTCAAGCCCCTGGCAATATTCTGCACCCCAAACCCTTTGGTCATGTGGCGCTACAACTCCCAAGGCTTACCAGCGCCGAGGCAGCTCCCCGGTGTCACCTCAAGGTCGTCGAGCGCCACATACGACGGCACAGCCCCTCCATCGCCTTCTGCCGCAAAAGCCACCTGCGCCAGAGAGAGGGGGGTCCGCATGCTGCCACAAAGTCAAACCCAGCACCATTCCCCCAACCCGACGCTCCCCTTTGGCGCTCACCTGCCACTCGCTGCTAACTTCCGCTGTGAAATTTGCGTAGCGCCAGCTCCCGTGCCGCATTGAACCCACTGCCAGCGCCTCGGCTTGCCTCCTGCCCTCTTCCTCCACGGAGGCGCGCAGAGAGCCTGGCGAGAGAGCGCCTTGGTGGAGTCATCAAGCTTTCTGGCATGGCGGGACCCTGGTGGGTCATCCATCCCACCCCGAGCTTTTACCTGCGTCTCCAGTGCTCAGGTAGTACCAGAATCCGACACAGTGGGTGCCCCCCAACGGCAGGTACGTCCCCGTCCACAGCAGCGCCGCTTCTCCCGCTGCCAGGGCGCTGGTGTCGGCAACCATGTAGTGTCCTGGGGAGGGAAGCGGCGAGTTCCAGTTGGGGTTTCCTACCATATTGGGACCCGGCGGTCATCCAGCCTGACGCTGGCGTCACTCACCCTCCGACGTGCCAAGGGTGCGGTCATGGAGCGGGCCTTGCCCTGAGGTGCCGCCGCCCTGCCACCGCACCCACCCTCCTCCCGAAACATTGCAGGCGCCAGGCTCCTCAAAGTTGCAGCGGAGGGGGGCGGCGCAGGGGCCGGGCGCCAGTGCTACGTCGTCCACTGCTACGGTTCCCACAAAGCCGTCGCGGAGCAGCTCAAAGATCACCTGGTATGGAAAGAAAATAGTTTCCAGTGCTGTTATTCACGATGATTTTGCTTGTTCTTATTCTAGGCTGGATTCGATCCCAAGACCTCACCTGGAAGCCGGGCAGCAGATGCTGGGGAATTGTGGCCGAGGCACGGCGCCAAGCGGCGCCCTGAGTCCCCGCCCGGGTCCACAGAACTTCCTCTGCGGCACCGGCGGATTTCACCAGCAGGTTGAAGGTGCCTGGGAAAGAGGGGGGCAGGGGCTCCATTAATTGCTATTATATCATCATCATCATCATCATCATCATCATCATCATCATCTCATCCTTTCCCCCAACCGCTATGTGTTTTTATCTTTGTTCATTATTCTTACTACTGTATTTCCTTTTCTTAACTGTTATAACCATTAAGCTATTATTTATTTTTAAAGGATTCTTGCTGATTGTTATTTATGCTGTATTGTTTTTAATATCTGGTTGGAAGCTGCCCAGATATGCGGGGTATAAATACATTTGTCAGCAGCTGCCTCAGGTCCCAGCTCACAAAGGACCCACGCCAGTTGCTCTTTATAAACAAAAGTCTTTATTGCGGTTCATTGTTGGTTTGACATCAGTGGCGCGCAGCGCTACGTCTGAGTCCTTAGACCGGCGAAGCTCCATCTGAGTCTCCGCCCCCAGTACACCAGCTTAAGACTCTAATCTTACTCCACCTCTTCCGTCTCTCCTTTCTCCTCTGGGTCCTTCTGCCCCCCGGGGTCTCCTCCTTTCTGGACTCTTCTGACGCTGACCCCCCTGACTCCTCCCCCTCCTTTCGGCGGGCTTTGGGACCTGGCTCCCTATCCGGGCTGCCAACTGCGCCGCCCTCCTGTACATTTGAACTTGGCGCGCGCGCCCAGCTTTCGACCTTCCTCTTGACCGTTTCCTCGCTCTCCGATGGAGGCGTGGCCAATCCTGACTCCTCTCCTCCCGCTGGCGGTGAGCCTCCTGATCCCGATACCTGGGACTCCTCCCCCCTACTGCGCTCTGGTGGGGAAGCTGGTCCTGATTTCCAACTGCTGCTCTCTGAGTCCCCTCTGGCCCCTTCTTCCTGGGGTGTCCCCCTCGGCACCCCCCTTGCTCTGACCATGGGAGCCCCTTTCTGTGAATCTTCCGATTCGCTGGAAAGACTCAGAGACCTCGGACCTCTGTCATCGCTAACATTTCCTTCGGATTCCTCCCCCTCGCTCTCTATTTCCTCCCTTTCCTGTGCCTCTGCTCCTGAGCCCCTGACAATTATTATTATTATTATTATTATTATCATCATCATCATCATCATCATCATGGTGGCTCATTACCACTCATCATTTAATACCATCAACTGGTGTTCTTAATTTTTCTGGATTATAACTTGTCACGAAAATTCGTTTTTGAGAAACAGTACTTTTTACCATTATTTATTCTTATCATTCTTTTTATATGATAATATTAGAATTTCATATTTATTTTTTTATAAATACAATATAAATAATATTTTTTAAATTTATATTGTATTTTTTTATAAATACAATATAAATAATATAAAAATATAATATAAAAATGATAATAAGCAATAAGAAATACTATTTCTCAATAACGAATTAATATTTGTTCATTTGTCTGTGAACCTCCCTGAGACTTTGGGGTATAGGATGGTATATAAAAATTTCATTATTCTCATCTGAAAAGTCTCCGGCGACGCCACTCCTTTGAGGGCATCCCTCCCTCCCCTGAAATTCCTTGCTAGAGCTGAAGCTGCAGGTTTGAGTCCCTCCCTCTTCCATGACGAAAACTCCCTTTGGAAATCTCGGCCCGCATGCCAGCTGACTGAATGGCCTCCTCCCTCCTGGATGGACTTGCAGCGCTTGCCATCTTGGGAACTCCCTGCTACTTGAGATGAAGAAATCCCCTCGCCTCTGGAGATCTATATAGATCTGCCACTTGATTGTCAGGCTGGCAGCTCCTTGCATCCTGGGCCTTCCCAGCATCTTGCTCTCAAACCTGCACCATCTGGGGAACTGCCTGCCACTTGAGAGCCGCCCTTACCAATCTGGGGCCCCTCCAGGCGGTACCAGAAGGAGAGGCAGGCGTTGGACAGTGTCAGCGAAGCTTGGGGGGCAGAGACCAGCCTCGCCCGCCGGCCGCGGGATCCGGGTGCCGCAGGGTCCGCCGAGAGGAAAGAACCTGTGGGGCAACAGGGTCAGGTCCTGGGTTCGAATTTGCGCCAAGGCTCAGCTTGCCCTCAAAATCCACCTGCTTGCCCCCTGAGACTTGCCCTCTAAGCTCCATTTCAGAGAGCAGCTGCCTCCTTTGGAACTCCCCGACAAGGGATAATTTATGGGACTGAAACTGGATCAATGATTGATTTTTTTGTTTTATTTCCAAAATGAGGTTTTTCGAGCCATCTAGAAATTCTTGGCAAACTGATAGGAATGGTTTAAGTCATTTGGTCGAGCCAATGAACCCGACTGTGTGATTTGGAGACGGGCAGTTATTACTATTACAATTACTATTAATGTGATTTATATTCAATCGCATCATCATCATCATCATCATCATCATCATATATTATGTATACCCCGCCCATATGGAACTGGAGCATAAGAGCACATTTGAGGGAGCATCTTTCATCCAAACCTTAAACCAGTAACAGCAGCATAATATCAAATTAATCACAACAACCATTTCAATTTCAAAAAAGAAATCTCTTTTGGGATTTGTCAAGGTTTGCCCCAGGAGCTGTGAGCTGCTTTGGGTGCACAAATTGCAATCGAAATTATTCCACCCCCATCGCAAATCAGGTTTGTTCTCAAAATTGGCAGGCTTTCTGCTCTTTTGCAAGGAGCAGATCCCGCAAAAGCTGCAAGCCCTTTCTCCAAATTCAGCTGAAAACTTATATAGCAACTTATAGTGACATTATCAGCATAATTCCACCCGATTTGGCCATGGGAGTGGAATAATTTCGATGGCAAACCTTTGCTCCTTGCCAAACCAGCGCAGGAGGACTGGAAACACAAGCAGCTTTCTGAAAGGGAAGGTCTTGGGTTCAAATCTTCCTACCTCTGCCCGTCGTGTGGTCCTGGCCAATGTGGAGGCGCCACTCAAACCCGTCGCCCGGCTCAGCAAACCACCCACACAGGTTGCTCTCAAAGTTGCACGACAGCCCTGCGGGGCAGGAAGAGAGAGAGAGAGAGAGAGAGAGAGAGAGAGAGAGAGAGAGACCGTCAGGGGGAAGGACACACACACACACTTAGATAGCTTCTTATTAATATTATGATTCTTATTATAATCATCATTATTACATTATATATTATAATCATAAGTATGTTAAGATTACTATATACAACCGTTAATCCAAAGATCTCAGGGCAGTGCACCGTTTTCAGAGCCTATTTTACAGAGCATAAATCGAAGCATGGCAAAAGACAGCATAATAAGAAAAACAATCATTTTTGGTCTGTCACACCCTGAGGAAGAAGTGGAATATTATTATCATTATTATTATTATTATCATTAACAACAACCACCATATACAGGGTGAGTCTTTTGAAGGAGGCCCCGTGGAGCATGTGTACTCACCCTGTATTATATTGGGCCCAGTATCATGTTACTGTTCTGACTATTGTTATTGTGCCCAGTATTCTATTGTTGTTATTGCTATGTATACATTGATGTGACGTCTATATTTATTATGTATATTTATGTATATATTTATTATGTGTATGTGTGTATATATATTTATATATATCTATATCTATAATATATACCTATTCTACTATATCCTGCCTTCCTCCCAGGCAGTCTAGAGAAATTACAAAACTAGTAACGATTCTTCAAATTGAAGCATCATCATTGTCATCATTATTATTATCAATAGCATGCATTCCACCACCCCCCCGACAGGGACTCCCGGCAGCTGATGGACCCAGTCATCCCCAAGCTGCGGCCCTCCAGATGTTTTGACCTACAACTCCCATGATCCCTAGCTAACAGGGCAAGTGGTCAGGAATGATGGGAATTGTAGTCCAAAACATCTGGAGGGCCGAAGGTTGGGGATGCCTGGCTAAAACAATAGCGGCCCCAAATTAGGAAAATGTTGAAGAATGATTCTGACGGGCGGAGGGGAATCAGCGCCCTCCGATGGTGACATACCTGAGGGGTGCGAGAGAGAAGCACCGCAGTCCAGAAAGGCCACGCTCTTGATGGCCAGGGCAAAATCCTCCTCCGTCGCTAGGAGCTCCAGCTTCGGGGAGACAGAGATAAGGGAACCTCAGAGGTCATCCAGCCCAACCCGCTGTCACCCACCTCAGGCAGGGTAGGGGGTGGGGGAGCTGCTGGCTCACCTGGAAAGGCCGTTCTCTCGCACCCAGGGCCACGGTGGCGTGCTGCCAGGCGGCGGTGCCATTGCCCTGGGCGTGCCACAACCACTGGCCCGGCGCTGCGTCGGTGACAGCCAGAGCCAGAAACCCTGGGAAAAGAGCGCGACTGATGTGGTTAAACAATCATGATTATTTTTACTGAGTTTTAGCACACGTGAAGAACTTAAAAGAAATCCTTATTTCCCAGGGAATAGCCTTTGGACTCTGATGTCACTTAAAGAGGAAATCTTGAGAAAGATTTTTCCTCCCAAAGCACTTTGTTTTAAAAATCCAAATTAAATCACAAAAATCTGCTCCAATATTTCTTTAAATAATAGTCAATGATGATAGTAAATAGTAATAATTTGCATGCGTCTGCCTGCATGTCGCAGCTCCTGCACGTTTACATGGAACATGGATCTGGTCCTCCCTGAATTGGCCCCCCGGCTGCACCTACCTTGAGGGCCGGTGTTGAACTGCAGCTCCACGGCGCAGGCCCAGCTGGAAGGCCCCAGGAGCGGCGTGGTGGCCCTGGCCAGGGAGAGCATCTGCCCCGGAGCCTGGCCCAGGCCCAGGCCGGGCGATGCAGGATCCCGCCCCGCGCTGACCCACTGGATCCGGCCCACGCTGACGTCCGCCCAGCCGCCCATGCCATGGGTGAAATTGCTGGCTCCTAGGAAAGGACAGGGGCTGCTGGGATCGGGGCTGGGCTAGATGACTCCAGCTATCATTCTGTGATGCCTGTAGCAGGAACCCCCCCCCCCCGCCAATCATTCAGTTTGTACAAACTTCACACACACTCACACTCACACACTACATACACTACGCTTCTGTTATGAATTTATAGAAAAATCAACCATACATCGGATTTGCACTGTTCCACTTTTATTTTACTCCATATGACAAGGACTATCAAAGGGGGGTGGCTTGGTTCTGGTCAGCCATAATCCCTTAAACCTGAGAGCATGTACTCTGCAGCCCTTCCCAGTTGGCATGGCATCTCTGATAGCCGGCTTGATGGGCTCAGACAGAAGACTATCAAGGACACAACGGACTGCATACCTGAGTGGATTCAGCATGGACTGGAACAAAGGACAATGATCAGATCTTCCCTCAGGGGGCAGGAAACTGCAAACTCCCCTCTGTCACCTGGAAAGTGCTCATGGGGAGGGGGAAAGGGGGAACCAGCCAGGTGACAGGACACTCAGGTTACCACCACAACTCCTCCCTCAACCCCTCCTTTCTGTGATGTATGCATGATGTTTCTGGGGGTGGTCTTGATCTACAGGGTGGGAATTTCAAAAGTCTTTATAAGGCCTTGCACACCATTTTTTCTCTGTCTTTCCTCTCTCCTGCAAGTGAGGGGAACACCCTGTTGCAACAGTTCAATAAAGGCCAAGCCTACAGGCTGCTGATTTGCTCCAATTTACTCTGGTTGGTGTCTTTACTTTTTGTCCAAGGGAGCCCTCGGATTTTTCCGGTAACATGCCCAAAGCAGATTTTAGGGTGCCCAGGTGCCACCCCTGGGTGGGCTCAGGCCCAGCAGGGAATCTGCTTTCCGTGTCACAAGAGACTCCTGTGGCAGGCAGTTCCGTGGGTTAACAGAGGCCCACGGCAGACGCTCACCACACTGGCTCTCGTCAGTGTCGTCGTCGCAGTCGGCCTTGAAGTCACACACTTGCTCGCTGCCGAGGCATCGTGCCCCACTGTCACAGGCAAACTGGTCGTCCTTGCAGGGCACCGGTCCGGGTGGTTGCTCGGTGTGGGGAGCGGAGAACAGGCCTGGATGGGGAGGGAAGGGGGCGCCAATGTCCGGGACTCTTCATCGGTCGCAGCCCAAAAGGTGGGGTTGGATTGGATGACCCTGGGGGTCCCATTCCCATAAGTCATTTTTGTTACAAAAAGATTCAACCTTGCTGGTATCTTAATATCAACAACCAGAAGAAGGTTTCCCTTTTGGAATAATAAATTTCCAGAGGAGGGTGGATTTGATTGAAATGAAATCAATTTAAATGACAATTGAAACCACCATTTATATCCCAAGTCAGACTTGATTTAAACCAGTTTTTTACAGAAAGATTCAGCCTTGCTGGCATTTTCTTAATATTGACAAGCAGATTAAGGTCCTTTTTGGAATGATGAATTTTCAGAGTTGTTACACATACATGTGCACACATGCAGATATGACCCATGTGAAATATTTTGGGAGAAAGAATTGCCCTCAAGAGAACCGGAGCCTTCTTTCAACGCCTTTTCCCCTCACCGCTTTGCTGGATGCAACCGGGAGACAGGATCAGGTCATCCAGAGCGATGCTGCTTTGGGGATCCTTCCCGATGACGCCCTCAAGGACAATCTGGAAGGAGGGAGCGAGTCCGAGAGAAACTCTTTTCTTTTTTTACTTATTATGAGCGTTCTCCATTTCCTTTCTGTACCACTTTATATTTGAAAGAAAACACTTCCAAGCAGTTGGCATTAAAACATCCAGAGTAAAGCCCAGGAAAAGACTATATTTCTTTATTTCCCCTATTTATTTATTTATTTATTTATTTATTTATTTATTTATTTATTTATTTACTGACTTGACTATATTTCTTTATTCCCCCTATTTATTTGCTGACTATAATATTGCAGAAGTGCTCTGGGAAGGCAGTGTGGCGCAGTCCTTAGTGTCCGAGATCCGGGTTTGAATCCCCACTCGGTCAGGAAGCAGACCCTGGAGTCTGTCGCCTCCTCTAAGCCTACCAGGCAAGGGTTGGGGTGTGTGTGTGTGTTGCTGGCAAGGTTATTGTAGGGAAGAAGGGAGGAGAAAAAGGGGCAATAAGAAGCCTCGCCTTCTTAGGAAGTTTGGAAGAAGAGCTTGGAGAGTTTGAGCAAAGATGGCTGCCTTGGAGCGGGTTGGACTACATGACCGCTGGGGTCCCATTTTTTGAGATAAGCCCTTCTGCTTAAGGGCCCTGCCAGAGGGAGATGTGGCCAACCTGGCGCCAAAAATGCCTGGTGAATGTCGAACCCTGAAGTCAGGGCAGGGCTGCCAAATTCCTGGCACCAACAGTGCTCCTCTGCCTTTACAGGGATTGGGGGTACCTGGAAGTCCTCGGTGCCGTTGAAAGTGGCTTCCTGGCGGAACCAGAAGTCCCCCAGGTCGCCGGCACGGCTGAGGATCAGCTCCCTCTTCGTCTCCGTCTGGGAGTAGACGTTCAGGCGGTTGGCGTCCGACCCGTGCAGGTGGGCATAGAGCACCAGCTGGAAGGGAAATGTAGCGCTAGAGCCGAGGGTCCGAGCCGTTCGCCAGTACAGGGGCGGCCGATATTCTTCATATTCAATAATCAATATTGGCCCATATTTCCGTAGAAAACAAATACTAAACGATGATAATAAACTCCTCCCATATTTTCGCAAATAATAAATCGTAAATGATGATGATGATTATAAGGGACTCACATGGCAGGACCCGTTCACCACCAGGGTGGGGCTGAACAGCTCAGCTCGGCCCGGCTGGGCGCCGGCAACGTAGATGAAGTGCCCTGTGAGAGAGGAGAACGAAAGAGGGAGCTGAGGCACGGCCAGCGAGATGCCACCCCAAGATCAAGATTTATTTGTCACTGTGACCCCAACGTAAAAAGTTTGTAAAGCTCTGTTATACAATCACAAGATCTATAAATATATGTAGAGCTCAGTTGGTAGAGTACCAGAGTCTACCATTAATAGACTCTAACATTATTATTATTATTATTATTATTATTATTATTATTATTATTATTATTATACCCTGCCCATCTGGCTGGTTTTCTCCTCTTAATCTCAGGGTCATGGGTTCGAGCCCCAATTTGGGCAGAAGATTCCTGCCTAGATGACCTGAAGTGTCCCTTCCAACTCTGCCATTCTATGATTCTATGTCATCTATAAAGACACATACATTGCATATAGATATTCATTTTATATCTATATCTATATACGCACACATATGCATATATCAATTATATTTATAAATCTATACACGCTTATCTATACACACATATACCCATATATCCATTTTATTTATTTATTTATTTATTTATTTATTTATTTGTATATATACAAACGCATATACATATGTAAATACACATTTCATTTACATACATACACACACACAAACACACACACACACACACACACACATATATATATCCATACACACATATATACACATCCATTTTATTTATACTTATACACATATATGCCTATAGTTATGCTCATGGAACAGAGCTATTTATTATGTGTATCTCTGCCTATAAATTATCTCTATGTTTAAATTATCTCTACCTATGTCAATATCATGCCCCCCCCCACGTATAAATGAGCTCAGAAAGATAGTTGTGAGCTCCTGGAGGTGCAGAACTCTGCACATGCCCCGAGCTGGTAAGACTTGATTCAAATCATTTCTTTATGGAAAGATTCAGCCTTGCTGGCACCCTCTACATATTAACAACCAGCATCCACCTTCCGGCGTGTTGGTGGTGTGGTCGCGGGTGGGACGGGCTGGGGACGACGGCACCTGGGAGCTGCAGTTCCTCGCCCAGGAGAGGCTCTGGTTGGCATCCGCTGCCCACCTGCACCAGTCCTCCTCGAAGGGGCACGAGAAGAAGGTCTCTGGGGGAGAAAGGCAGGTGAGGGGGGGTCCCAAGGTGCCCTTTCCACCCTCCCCCCTTCCGGTGGCGCCCATGTCCCCTCCCCTGGCCCCGACTGCTCACCGCAACCCTGTTCGTCGCTGCCGTCGCTGCAGTCCTCGGTGCCATCACAATGGCGGGCAGGGGCCACGCAGCCGCTTGGCAGGCACGGGCGCTCGTCTGGGGCGCAGCTCCGGGAACCTGGAAACGTTGGGACGGTGAATGGGGAGCCTCCAAGCCCAGAGGCAGTCTATCTGGTTGGCAGGGTTTTGAGGAGGCGGAAAAGAAAGCCTTACTTTGGGGGCGACAGTTCCTGAACTGCACGTCGTCCAGCGCCACGCTCGCCACCGAGGAGAAGGTCACCTGTGGAGGGGGAGGCAGCGCTCTTGACATGCTCTGGGGAAGGAGCCAGCCGGGGAGAGCGAGGAGCCCAAGACCCACCTGGAAAGTGCCGCGGACTCTTCCAGTGTAGGCCAGCAGGGGGCGCCAGGCACCAGAGGACGAGGCGGGGCTTCGCCACAGGGGGACAACGTGGCCGCCGTGGCTCAACTCCAATGTGAAGCTCCCGTTGGGTCCTGCAGGGGAAGGGCGGAGGGGTGAGGGACCCGAGGGTCATCTAGTCTGACCCTGGTGAGGATTGCAGATTGCCATCTCATCTCAGCCGCTCCCGTTTTTATCAGTCCCCAATGGGGGCGGGAAGCAGGGCATCAGTAAATGTCAAGATAAGAATGATCAGGATAGTATTTCTTTACACCGACCCTACCAGGTTGGTCAGTAGTCTGGAAATCAATAAATAATAATTACCGTATTTTTCGCCCCATAGGACGCACCGGCCCATAGGACGCACCAAGTTTTTTTGGGGGGAAATAAAGGGGAAAAAAATTATTTCCCCCCCAGGCGCTTGTGGGGCCGGCAGCGGGGAGAAGCGCTGTGCCTCCCAGCTGTCCCCGGAGCTTGCGGGGCTTGCGGCGGGGAGAAGCACGCGTCTCCTCGCCGTCAGCCTCCAAACCACATCGGGAGACAGTGGGATGGCGGCATTTCGCCTCCCCGCTGTCCCCCGACCTTGTGGGGCTGGCGCTGTGGCTCTCCTGAAGCCTGGAGAGCGAGAGGGGTCGGTGTTCAGCGAAAGCCTGCATTCGCCCCATAGGATGCACACACATTTCCCCTTCATTTTTGGAGGGGGAAAAGTGCGTCCTATAGGGCGAAAAATACGGCATATGATACGATACATCCTGCAGTTTAGAAACGTATTATGTAATATTGATATGGAATTATGAGAACCGGGCCAGGCGGCATTTCCCCCACCACACCGGGGAAAAGGCCGAGCAGGTGGCTCTGCAGCTGTTGGATTTCTGACCGCCAGCGCCCCAAGCTTACCTGTCTCGGCCATGCTGTACCAGGCGCAGAGCTCACAGGTTGAGGCTGCGTCGCTCAGGGTCGGGGAGCGGAGTCGGGCAGGGGCGGCAGGCGGCTTGGCTCGCTGCTCTGAGGTGCTCATGTACCAGCCTGAAGGGAGGTCAGGGGGCGCCAGGTCAAAGGGGTGCTCTAACCGCTAAGCAATGCTTCCCCTCCCTTCAAATGAAGCATGTTTACCCTGGTCGGTGCCCAGCGTGTGGTCGAAGGGGGGGTCAGCGCCGTGCACCCAGCCTCTGCCCCGCCCTGGGTGCCACCGGTACCCAGACGTGCTGACGTCCTCCCAGCCGCAGGTGGTGCCTTCAAAGTCGCAGGCCAAGGCAGCACCTGGCAGTGCCAGCCCATTCCGGTAGCCTGGAAGGAGAAGGAATCAGGCGCCCTGAGCAAGCTACAGTTCCCACCATTCTGTGCACCAAGTGCCCTTAGGAGACCCCTGTTCCCCCCAGGAGCTACAGTTCCCAGAGTTCTCTAAGAAGAGAAATGGGCTTGGGAACTGTAGTTCTGTCAAGGGAATCGCAACCCTCAATGCCCAGAGCAAGCAATCATTTCCAGGGTGCTTTGGGGGACATTGTGGGAACTGTAGCTTGTTCAGTTTCCCAAGGAGACCCTCTCAGAACTATAACTCCCAGAGTTTCCTTGGAAAGGCTGTGCTGAATATTCTCCTCCCGTAGGGGGATGCTAAGATGGGTTAAATCACTCTCTGCGAGGGGAATCGAGGCACGTTTCCCCGATTCCTTTGGTGACGCCAAAACTTACCGCAATGGCTCTCATCAGAGCAATCCCAGCGGTCGCAGGCAAAGTTGCAGGTGCTGGCGCTTGAGTTCCCATAGGCGCCCCAGCTAGGAAATGGAGACCCAGCTAGGGGGGGAAAAGGGGGAAAGTGCCATTAAAAGGAGAGGAAGAGTGAGAGAGACAGTGAGCATCCTAGAATGGGAGAGATGGAAGGACCTCAAGGGTCATCTAGTCCAACCCGCTGCTCAGAGCTAGAATTCCCAGGACTTTGGGAATTGAGAGAGGGAAGAGAGAGAGGGACAGGATTCACAGCCCCCGTCTCCCTTCGCCCCCCGGCTCACCCCAGCCCAGCAGGGCACCCCACAGCACCCACAGGCGTGCCATCCTCCCAGCAGCGCCCAGCAGGACTTTGCCCCCAACTTATCTGCGTGCCCGCAGGGCGAGGCGGGCAAAAGGCCGGCGGGGCGGAGGCAGAAATCAGGACTTTGGTCCCTGCACCCTAAAGGACACCTGGGGGCCCCACAGGAATCCACTTTGTGGGGCTTCCCTGGGCTCCCAGGCGCCTCTTCTGCTCTGGCAAAGCCTCCTGGGCCAGAGGCAGTCTACCTGGGCTGCTCCTGAGGGAGCTTGGAAGCAGCGAAAAGGAGAATGCTTATAATGAGGATAATCAATAATAATAATAATAATAATAAACCTTAACTATAAGATTATATATGTATATATAATATAAATTATTATTATTATCATCATCATTATTATAATTATTATTATTATATTTTATAATATAATATATAATAATAATAACAAGGAGAAACCAGGCCCCTCAGGCACCGTTGGGACTCCTCCCTGAGGGGATTTGGGGGGGTCCCTCCGGCTTCCTTCTCCGCAGGGACCCCCAACGAGGCGCCCACCTCACGAAGGAGACCAGCGCCACCCAACGGCCAGGCTAGGCCCCGCTGCCCTCAACCAAAATGGCGGCGGTGGCGCGTCTTCTGCCCTTTCTTCCCCCCTCCGCTCCGTTTCCCTCTTTCCAGGCACGTTGCCCTCGTCCAAACGGCCCCCCCCCCCGGACCCCCTCGCTCAACGCACGCGCAGAGCAGCCACAGCAACAATAAAAATCTCGGCAGCAATCGGTCGGCCTTTTGGCCAATCACAGGTCGGGTTGTGGGCGGGGCCAGCCGTTTGGCGCTTTTTCTCCTCAGCTGTTTCTCCTCTGCGTTTCCCACGCCCTTTACGTGAAGGAAGCTGGTAAGTTTTGTCGTGTTTGTAATACTGTATTCTGTTGGGGAAGTTTGTAATTATTATGTTTTGTCGCGTTTTTAATATTCTGTTGGGAGGAGCCCACAGTGGCTGGGGAAGGATAATAAATTATGATTATCATTAATTTTTAAATTGTTATCATTGTTATTATAATAATTGTTATTAGAAAAGGGTTAGGGGTGTTTGTAGTATATTATGTGTCAGGGGTTCAGGGAGAGAGGCACAGATGAGGGAGGAGACTGAGAGCGAGGGGGAAGAATCCAGGAACGAGGAGGAGGAGGATGACAATGACTTGAGGGTTTCCATGAGTCTTTCAAGTGAATCGGAGGATTCCCAAAAGGGGGCGCCCCTGGTCAGGCCAAGGGGAGTCACAGGGGGGACTCGTCAGGAGCAGGGGAGCAGCAGGGGAACCCCGAGTGGGAGTTGGGAATCGGGGCCGGCTTCCCCGCCGGAACGGAGTGAAGGGGGTGGAGTTCCCAGTGTGACAGACGAAGCAGAGCAGGAAGCAGAGAGGGGAAGGAGATCGGGGCAAGACGTCCTGCCGGAAGGGGCGGAGAGTAGTACAGAGAGTAGTGTAACTGTCAAGAGGAAGGTCAGAGGTAGCGAACGCGCGCCAAGTTCAAATGTGGAGGCGCGCGGAAATGCGGAGAGCCCGGAGGAGGAGCCTGGTCCCAAAGCACGGAGGAGGGGGGAGCAGGCGTCTGGGGACTCAGCGTCAGGGGAATCCAGGAGGGGAGGAACCCAGGGGGGCAGGAAGACCCTGCAGAAAAGGAAGGACAGGAAGAGGTGGACCAGCACAAGCCTCTTAAACTGGTGTAGAGGCGGGACTGATTCAGAGGGGACTTCAGCGGTCTAAGCGTAACAGACGTGGGGCTGCGCGCCTCGGCTGTGGAACAAACAATGTACTTCAATAAAGACTTTTGTAAATAAAGTGGACTTGGCGTTGGTCTCTTGTGAGCTGGGACCTGAGGCGGCCCTGACAGTAAGTCCCCTCCCAAAAAGAACGCAAATTTTTTTTTTGCAAAGCTCACGAAGTGTGGCAGCCATGAGTGCGGAGGAACAGTTGACAGCGCTACGGAACGCAGTCACCGAGCTCTCCACTGCGGTAATAGCCTCTCAGAAGAAGAGTGACGAAGCGGAGAAGCGATGCCAGGATCTGCAAGCCAGGTGGGAGCGTGCATGCAGAGAGGGGTTCCCAGGGTCCAGATCAGAAGGAATTGGACTTGGAAGGCGGGGGGGGCAGTTTAGTCGCCCACTTCGATGGGAACCTGAAGCACTACCCCAGTTTCAGAGCAGACGTCCTATATGCACTGCATTTGCTTCGCAATGACTTTAAAGATGAGGAGGAGAAAGTGGGTTTTATTGTGTCTCATTTGCATGGAGACGCTAGAGCGTGGCTGCGCAATTTGTGGCGCGAAGATGGTCCTGCCCGCCGCGATTCTGATGAATTTATCAAAGCTATGGACGCTTGTTTCCAGTCCACCGTAGATGTTGATGTTGCGCGCCGAGAGATGCACGGACTCAGACAAGGCAAAGCCACTGTGCGTCAGTACCATTCGCGCTTTTTTGCATTGCTGACTGTATTGGGCTGGGAGAAAGACTCCAAACCAGTGAGAGATTTGTTCTGGGAGGGACTCCATGGCTCCATAAAAGATGAATTGGCCAGGGGTGACAGACCTCAAACCCTAGCAGAAGTAGTACAGAGGGCTCTGGCGATTGGAATACGACACGAAGAACGTCCTTGGCACAATGAGGAAGGTCGCCAGGTGCGTGCGCCAGCGAGGGCACCTCCTCTTATCCCCAGGGAGTTCGGCCAGGCGCATCCTTCGCCTCTGATGCGGCAGGGGGAGGAACCAATGGAGCTTGGCGGTGCTAGAGCTCAGACAGCAGCCAGAGCCCCAACGTCCGGTGCAGTCAAGGCGAAGCCTCCTAGAGGGAAAAGGAAACGTTACATCTGTGACAGTGCACAGCACATGGCTAAAGAGTGTCCACAGAGGCTCCAGAAGCACACTGCAGCGTTAGCAACGGTCGCAGCAGACGTACTTCACGAAGAGCAGTTTCAGGGAAACGACAGTGCCTGGCTGGAGACAGCGATGCTGGGGCTCAGCCAGGTGAGTCTGTAGAGCAGTCCCCAGCGATTTTGCAGCACACAGACCCCTTACCACCCAAGCCAGCGGTGCAGCTCACTGCAACACTCCAGTTGCCAAATGGAACCACCCTGGAAGTCCCCATTACAATCGACTCTGGGAGCAACGCGGACTTTGTGGGGGTGCAGTTCGTCAAGCAGCATCGCATAGCGCTTCTGCCAGCTACGACGCCCCTGAACGTAGTCACGGTCGATGGCAGGAAATTGCTAGGAGGGCAAGTAGTGCAACAGACGCCTCCCATGGTGATGCAGATTGGAAATCATCGAGAAGTCATTAGCTTCAACGTCACCCGCCTATCAGACACGCCTATAGTGTTAGGCATGAGCTGGCTAGAGAGACACAGTCCAGCAGTGGCGTGGTACCAGCGACAACTCACCTTTTGCTCATCGTACTGTGCTCAACATTGCATCCAGTCCAGCCAAGAGGAGGAAGCTGGGCAGCAACTGCAACTCGGCATGGTGCAGGCAGTACCCCGCAAGTACGAGGGATTTTTGGAGGTTTTCTGTGAGAAGGAAGCTGACCAGCTGCCACCCCACAGGCCTTACGACTGTGCGATTGACCTGTTGCCGGGGGCGAAGCTGCCGACTGCAAAGCTGTATTCCATGTCTGAAGATGAGATGCAAGAACTCAGGGAGTTCATAGAGCACAATTTGAAGCGCGGATTCATTCGGGAATCCAAAGCGGTGGGGGGCAGTCCTGTGTTTTTTGTGAAGAAGAAGGACACGCCCCAGAAGAGACTCATTGTGGACTATCGAGCCATAAACTCGATGACAAAGCTCAAGGCCTTTCCCATGCCCAAGATTGACGACCTCCTAGCGACCGTGCGGAAGGGGAGGATCTTCACCAAGTTGGATCTGCGCGGAGCGTACAATCTCATACGCATGCGTGAGGGCGATGAGTGGAAGACGGCCATGTTCACGCCTCTGGGCACGTATGAATACAGAGTTATGCCTTTTGGTCTCCAAAATGGATCCCACTGCTTCCAAGCCTTTATGCATCACGTGCTAGCGGGACTCCTCTACAAGAAGTGTGTGTGCTTCCTTGACGACATCCTGATCTTCTTGGAATCGCCGGAGGCTCACGAGAGAGACGTAAAGGAGGTCCTGCAGAGACTACGGGAACACAGACTCTACGCCAAGTTGGAGAAGTGCCAGTTCGATGTGACGGAGGTGGATTTCCTGGGCTACAAGCTGTCCGACAAGGGGCTGGCCATGGACAGCGTCAAGGTCCGCGCGGTGTTGGACTGGAAGAGCCCGCGCAATCGGAAGGAAGTCCAGAGGTTCGTCGGTTTCGCCAACTTTTACCGCAAGTTCATCAGAGGTTTCGCGAAGGAGACAGCAGCAATCACGGACACTCTCAGTTCCAAGAAGAAGAAGTTCACTTGGACGGACCAGGCGGAGCGCTCTTTTCAGAAGCTTAAAAGCCTCTTCGCCTCCGAGGAACAGCTGCTGCACGTGAATCCCGGCAGGCCCCTGCGGGTCGAGACTGACGCATCAGACAGAGCGGTAGGGGCCGTCCTTTTGCAGGAAGATCCGCAAGGGCACTGGAGGCCCTGTGCTTTCTACTCCCGGAAGCTCAGCAAGGCGGAACAAAACTACACCATCTGGGACAGGGAGTTGTTGGCCATCCACGCGGCTTTCAAAGCGTGGCGGCACTTCCTCATAGGAGCCAAGCACACCGTGCAGGTCCGCACGGACAACAAGAACTTAGAGTATTGGCGCACGGCGAAGCTCCAGAGCCAGAGGCACATGCGCTGGGCGGAATTCTTCGCGGATTTCGACTTCCGAATAGAGTACATCCCGGGGGACTCCAATGTCATAGCCGATGCGCTCTCAAGGAAACTGCAATATCTCGAGGAAGCGGCAACAGTAGCAGCCAAGCACATTTTCGCACCGCAGGCATGGGCGTGCGCTTCAGTCGCCGTCGACCTGGACGCGGTGCGACGCGCGCTGCAGACGGATCAGTTTGCACAATCCAAGATGGAAGAGCTGCGCAGAGGTACAACGAGAGACGACGA